ACTTTTCCTGAATTTGGATCACTAGGCTACCAAGGTGACAGCAGATGGTGAGCAAACCAGGCAGGATGCTGAGAGGACTAATGACAGAGCGAAATCTCTCCGACAGTTCGTCAAAGGCATTCTTCAGGCTGCTGAAGGTATTGGAAAAAGAAAAATATGCCAGTTGTTTCTTAAGAATGCTGAAGGATGATGGGGAAGAAGGTCTGAGAGACAGTGAAGAAGAGTATATTCACCGTGAAATGTCATGTGCTTTAAATGTTAAGTGAAGAAGTTGTGGTCAACCAACTTCAGACTTTTTGCAATCTACAGATGCAGCTTATATAAAAAAATTAGTGCATTGGTAATTATGAACAAAGACTAGCAGTATGTTTGTTGAGAAAATTTGTATTCATTTGAAGGAGAGCTACCATGATGAAGTAACTGAGAGGGCTTAGCTTTTTAATTTTTTTTTTTGTTTTCAGAGTAGTTAAAAACATGTATTGGTAAAAAAAATTGATGTAATTTTGGGACTCAGTACATTAACACTTAATCTTAATTCCCCAAAATTACTTTAAAAATATATTACTACTTGCTGTTAATGTACATCTTCTGCTTGTAATTTGCAAGAGACTCCTGACTGTACCTAAGTGGTGGCACAGAGCCAATTCTGTTTCTTCCATAACCCGTTTCACTGCACTTAGAAATGCAGTAAAGACTTACGAGTGAAAGTATTATAGATGGCTTATAGAAGCATGACCTATATATTGCATGAATCTATTCAATAATGCCTGAAAAAGATTAAAATTATTGCAATCACAGGCATGATTTTACTTCAAAAATACTGGTCTGTTTTTTCCTCTTCAGAACTCCCACTACAGCACTGATTTCAGTAGCTTTGCCTCTGAAGGCCCATTTCATTGAAAGGGAAATCTTTCACTTTTTTCCAAGTGCTATGAAATGCATTTTGTATTGCATTGCATGTAACCAGGCAGGATGCTGAGAGGACTAATGACAGAGCGAAATCTCTCCGACAGTTCGTCAAAGGCATTCTTCAGGCTGCTGAAGGTATTGGAAAAAGAAAAATATGCCAGTTGTTTCTTAAGAATGCTGAAGGATGATGGGGAAGAAGGTCTGAGAGACAGTGAAGAAGAGTATATTCACCGTGAAATGTCATGTGCTTTAAATGTTAAGTGAAGAAGTTGTGGTCAACCAACTTCAGACTTTTTGCAATCTACAGATGCAGCTTATATAAAAAAATTAGTGCATTGGTAATTATGAACAAAGACTAGCAGTATGTTTGTTGAGAAAATTTGTATTCATTTGAAGGAGAGCTACCATGATGAAGTAACTGAGAGGGCTTAGCTTTTTAATTTTTTTTTTTGTTTTCAGAGTAGTTAAAAACATGTATTGGTAAAAAAAATTGATGTAATTTTGGGACTCAGTACATTAACACTTAATCTTAATTCCCCAAAATTACTTTAAAAATATATTACTACTTGCTGTTAATGTACATCTTCTGCTTGTAATTTGCAAGAGACTCCTGACTGTACCTAAGTGGTGGCACAGAGCCAATTCTGTTTCTTCCATAACCCGTTTCACTGCACTTAGAAATGCAGTAAAGACTTACGAGTGAAAGTATTATAGATGGCTTATAGAAGCATGACCTATATATTGCATGAATCTATTCAATAATGCCTGAAAAAGATTAAAATTATTGCAATCACAGGCATGATTTTACTTCAAAAATACTGGTCTGTTTTTTCCTCTTCAGAACTCCCACTACAGCACTGATTTCAGTAGCTTTGCCTCTGAAGGCCCATTTCATTGAAAGGGAAATCTTTCACTTTTTTCCAAGTGCTATGAAATGCATTTTGTATTGCATTGCATGTAACACGTGCCCTGTAGCTGAACTGATCAGCAATTTAGTTTATCTTCAGGGTGTGCAACTTTGATATGAAATAAATATAGGAAAAAGAACAAGACAAAGTAAGCAAGTTTTCAAGTCTTCAAAATGTTCTTCCTCTAGTTGTGAAAATGTCTATATCCTTATCTCTGACCACCATCCTCAATTTTCTTCTGTTCAAGATCACAGTCTTTCAAAAGCTGAGGTTAAACTTTTGTCTTGTGTTGGAGCTGCTTCTAGATTGTTTTGAAATTTGGTGGCATTTTAAGTGCGTATTGGCCCTGTGCCTTGTCTCTGCCCTTTTTTTACTAGGAGACTGCTAAATTATTCCTTGAAGACTTAATGTCCACTCATGATGTTCTGATTTAGATGACCAACTAGTTTTAAGGTATTCTTTATGCCCATTCCTTGTCCCCTATCCCTAGATTACAGGTTTCTGTAAGTTTTAGTACTTTGGATCTCTGGGAATGCAGGCCAGTATCTGTGGTTCTGAGCTCCCTAGTACTTGTTGCCAGTAGGCAACAACTTTAGGATTAAATGCCATGAAGGAAAATATTTCTTTCCATTGACTGAAGAGGATGCTTGAGAATGACTGTGCTCAGAAGTACATAATTGTAGATCTGGCAGATGCCTCCCTAAATGTCAGGGAATCAAGGAATTCTTCAAGCCATACAAAATTCTTATTACAAGGGAGAAGTTTGTAGAAATTTGTTGTAATAACCGTATTCTGACCATTGATCCATTTCTATTGAACTGATGGCTGACTTTCTCAACTTCTGATTACCTCTACCTAGTTTTCCCTAATAACTATGAAATTTCCCCAGCTTGGCACTTCCTTGTGTTTGTCTAAGTCAGTGCAAGCAAATCTGTTACTACCACAGGACTCTGATAGTTTGTGGTATACCAAGACAGAAATAAAGATCGTTATAAGGAGGATGGAGGGGAAAAATAAACCCAGGTATGAATATTCCTCAGCCTAATAGAGGCTGAGATAACATACCTGTGTTCTCTTTCAAAGTAAATATTCAAGGATGTTAAATTAGTATTATTTTACACCACAACTACTAGTACTAGTATTATTGTAATCATCATATGCCTGTTTCTGGCCTGAGGTAACTTAGTAATGATACATAACATAAAGTACAGAAGTGATTCATTATCCATGTAGGCAAAGTGTGGTCTTTTTCCAGTCTTCATTACCCCACATTACTCTTTAATCACCACTCTTGATTAAAGATCCAAAACTCAATTCTCAAATACATCATTGGATTTCAGTTTTCTTCATAATTTCCTCTAAAGCTGCAAAAGATGTAGATTAAATAATATTTTATTTCAATTTTGGAAGACAGATTTTAATTTCCTCAAGTAAAGATTTAAGTTAAAATATTCAGAAGTACCCATGGAACATGGAATTGTACTGTTTTTGATAAATCAGTTGCTTCTGAGCCTTGTGCCTATGGAAAAGCAACAGTACTTTAAAAAATTGGATAGGGAAGTTATTGTTGTAAATAACCTAGTTGCTTCTGAAAGTGTATATGTTGTGGTGTGCTATGGCAGAAAGATTTGAATATAATACCATGTGTGCAGCTTTATCACTTAGGAATAATTCAGCTAGTCCAGACTCATTATACATGTACAGTGCACCATCATATATTGCACCCTTCATATGCTGCTTTCCAAGTCCTGGGTATCTGTTTCTAAACACATGAGCAGCTTTAGACATCTGTGGGTGTCTTTCACTCCTCTCTCCTTTTTCCACAGTTTCCTAATAATTTATTCTTCCTAGCACTGGTAAATCTGAATGCTAAAAATGATATATTTTGAAGTTCTTCAAAAGTAATTTGAATCTAATATTTAAATCGAATTGCTTTTACTGCCTGCTCCTTAATTCTATGTGCAATATACCAGATTACCTTCTGCTGTTTCAAACGTTAGGTGCAAATTTGTTCTTTCAGGGGGAGTGGGAGGGGAACAATACATTTCTTATACTGGATACAAATCCATCTTCACTAGAATTATTGTGCTTAAAAGTAAGGTATAATACAAGGTTGGATGAAATATACAACATTTTCTCATTTGTTACTGGTTGTTGGTTTAACCATCCTTTATGTTTCACAGTAGGAATAACCAGTGCAAGTTGCATTACACTTTTTAATAGAGTTGGGGCAGGTGCCTCTCGGTTGTTTTTATTTACTAACTCCCTATCTAAATATTTTTGGACCCCTGCAGCTGCAAATGAAGATGCTCTAAGACTGAATGAGACACTCAGATCCCAAGACAGCACCTTGGAGAAGAGTCTTCCAGAACTACAGCGTGAGGCTGACAGAATGATCACAGAGATGAGAAGTAGAGAGATGAATATGCAAGAAAGAATAGCTCAAGATGAGTTGAAGTGAGTACACAGACCTTAGTCTTCAACCTCCCAGTGATGATATCTGACTCTTGTAAATATGTTTGTTATCTTTTCCAACTAAGTTTTCTAGCTAGGGATTACATAAATGTGTAGGAAAGCAAATTGTAATACTTCATATCTGTTAATGTAGCATTTACCTTTTTGGAAATGCTTATATATGGGGAAAGCAATCCCTAGGAAATAACATCTTTTTTCCACAGGTACCAGCAGCATTTCTAATTGAATTCAAAGCAATTTTTCTCAGTTTGTTTTTAGCTTCTGCTTCAGACCTGACAAATGGCTTTTGTACTAAAAATCTTGTCTAGAAACTTGAGGGTTTGTCTCTGGAAAATTAGTTAGGCCAATAAAAATTTTATCTATGTGCAAAGTTTCACAGAATCACAGAATGGTAGGAGACTGAAGGGTCCTCTGGAGATCATCTAGTGGATCATTTTCTGAAAATCCAACTGGTACAGTATTTCTTCCCACAATTCTGATGGTTCCACTTTCTGTACTCTTGAGATAGGATGTGTTGCAATGTATTATTGCTTTTTCTGAGCAATAAAAGCTGAGCCTTTGCTGTCCCTTCTCCACTCACACATAGAAATAAACCAGAAAAAAGCACGTATGGGAAAGATTTAGCCAAACCTTTGCAAGTGCTGCCTGCAATTTTAGGCCAGACTAGGGGAAGGCCTTTCAAACAAGGTGTTCTTAGTCCTCAAATGCCACAGTCAGCATGAAACTGTCAGACAAGCATGAAATAATTTCCTACTCTAGCCTTACAGCTTGCCTTACTGCTAGAGCAGGAAATGCAGTAGGGCTTTTCTGAGGGAAAGAACTTAACCATTCTTAACCCTCTTAACGATTCTTAGTGAAATGTGCAAAGTGAGTCTTTTCGTTTCACTGATAAATGAATAACTTTTATACTAAGAAATATATTAATATCCTCACTGATTTCAATTAAAGTTGCATGGTTTATCTTCAGGATAGGATTACTTCTTTGTGGTCAGTCATTTAGATCCAAGAAATTTTGTCTGTGTACTCAACAGGTAGTTAAGTTAGTCACTGTGGTTTACAGGATGGGGAGGAAAGATTCCTAGAAAATATTTTCTGAAATTCTTCTGTGAAGACCTGCCTCTTCAAGAAAAATGTCTTAAAACTTCTTAAATAAGTATGGTAGTGGATAGGATATATTCTGCAAGGAAAAATGATGAAGAAAAATTAATAATTCTTAAAACTGTGTGTGCACACGTGTGTGGATCATTATTCTCACCTGTATTCTTACAGGCTCATTTAGAAATATTTCCTTTTCAGTGGTTCTGCAAGTCTCATAACCAGTTTGAAGTGGTCAGTCTTGTTTAGACTTTGGTGAGATGATTTTTGGCAGGGATTATATTCTGGTTTTAGGATTTTGTCAAAGAACAGAATGACAAGAATCAGTGGATTCTTCTTGATTCTCCTACATTTTCAGGGAATTCTTGAAAGTTAAATGAAGAAGAGAAATTAAGTGAAGTCTTCGTACTTTCATAGATGACAAAACTTCTCTTATATGTGCAGATTTTTCCATCTTTTATCCCTTCAAGCTTTTCAAATACAGTGTGTAATCGACTTGCCTTAGTGTAGTGAAATGGCACATTAGTCAATAAATTTATCTCTGAAAAGAGCATGTTAAAATACACCAGTTTCTGTCCTAAACTGCCCTGATTTTCATACTTCTGAGATAAATAGTTCAATATTTTATAACATTCCTACACATTCGCTCGGATGCCACTGAGCAGCTATCAAGAGATGCTGTGAGCCAGAATTCTATCTTTCTATTTAGTAGGCTGAATAGCTTCATTTCTGTGTGACTTTTTCTCTCCCATAAATTTGTCTGATAGCTTTTGACCCACAGTGAAATTCTGTCATCCAGTTTCCTGTAAGAATGAATTGCCTAACTCAGCCATACAGTGTTTGAGGAGATACCTCTTGTGTTTTGACAACACTTCCTGATACTTTCATTTTTGTATTTGAAGAGACATTGTAGAGTGAATCACCCTATCCATGGTATTCATGATGTGATAGTTTTCATTTCTTCTCCAGATAGGATAATTCTAACATATTTAGAGTCTCATATATTGACAGTTTGGGTTTTTTTAATAATTTTGTCATCAGCTCCTAATCTTTCTTTTGTTTCCTCATACTCATTTTGAGGATGCAGATCATCCCACATTTTAGGCCTGTGATTGTTTCTTCTAACACTTCAAGCATTTTTTATAGTTTTGTTCTCTTTTTTTAAGACAATATGCATTGAAAGTAGCACAGCTTAAATGTACAAATTAGTATTTCAAGACTTGATGTTGTCCAGTCACACAGAAATTTTGGTATATAAAACAAAGGATTACATGGAGCACATTTATTGCCTTGTAATTCATTAGAAAGAACAGAGAGAAAAATGTATAACTTTTCAATATATTTCAATACAGTCAATATATGTGTTACCTTTAGAGCACCAGAAAGAAGTTTTGAGGTAGGCTACTGGACAGGTAGGTAGTTTGGACTGTGTTATGAGGCAAGGGCATAAAAAGAAATACATCTGTCATGTACTGTTCCTCCAGTACTGTGGAGTCAGGGTGTCAAAATTGGCCAGAAGTGCTGCTTCTGGCAAGATTTGCTAGTCAGTAGCTGTTTATACAAAGAACAATGGAGAGGTTTGGGAGAAATTCCAAATACCTTTCTACACCTCTTCTATGACAGGGTGTCAACACTAGGACATAATCTCTGCTGAAGTATTTTGTCCTCACAAGTTGCAAATTCATGTGATTTATTTTTTTTCCATCAAAACCTGGGGTGGGGCAGATGGGGGTGAAAAAGGCCATCTCAGAAAATCCCAAAGTTAATGTAAAAATTTGGTTTTCCTTGGCTCAAAAAAAACCTGCTGAAATCCTTAATCCAAATTATGCCCAGTGGCAGCATGTCTTTTCCACCTTTCATATATTTCTTTGTGTGCATTTATTTGTGTGTTTATTTTTAGAAGGTTTCTAATGGAAATTATGATAGGCAGGCTGAACTGTAATGTTTTCCAGAAAATACAGTTCTTCTTTTGCACACAAACTTCTTCAGGCACTTTGCCATAATAAGAGAGGAAGAAAAAATTCATCTGTTCTTGGTGGAAGTGCAGTAGATTTCTTCTTTGGGTATTATCTATGCTACAGATGACTGTTTACTTAGGATTTTTCTTTATCTCTAAACCATCATTTTGGAAGTGCCTATTGTTTTTTGTTGCTTGGGTTTTTTTGTTGCTGTCCTTGGCATACCATTGCATTAACACAGTGGTCTTGCATTATATGAAACTGATTCAATGACCTGGTGTCATGAGGCAGAGAAATGACAGGGTGTAAGGACTTCAGTACTCCGGTCCTTTAAAACTGGGTGCAGCAACTCCCTGATGATCAAGAAATATTGCATCCTTCGCCAAAAACAGGCACTTGTGAACTTTCTGTTTCTGTGTTGCCAAAGTCCATTAAAAATATCCCAGAATTTATTTTAGATAAGCAAATTTTTTTGACTACTGGAAGTCATAAATCCAAGGATCCTGAAGGTTCTTTATTTCACAGCGAAGTATTTATTATTTTTGACTGTCTAAAGAAGTTTGTCTGTTCCAAAACAGTTTGAAATCAGGCATATCTACATGTTTACATCAGGCATATTTACATATCCCCCTCATTTCAAGGTAGGAAATCACTTTGTGACATGTTACATTAATGCGAATGAAGGAAATATTTTTGACAAGTTGAAATGCCTCAGAAAATCTTCCTTTACTAGTCAGATCTCGAGAATGACAACTTACCAAAAAAAACCCACAACAAAACAGTCTTTTATGGACAATATTTGGGATGCTATATGAAGCACCTGGACTGATGGTAGCAGGTGGGATGCACCTGTCCCAGAGGGGGAAGAGGCTTTTGGGTCAGGACTTGGCAGGGCTCATTGATAGAGCTTTAAACTAGATGTGAAGGGGGAAGGGGAGAAGACCGGGTCTTTTAGGGACAAGCACAAGAGGAACACACCATGGCCCAAAGTCAGGTCGTCCAAGGAGGATTTAGTCCCACCGGTGTGCTCTGTTCGTTTCCTGAAATGCCTGTATGCTAATGCACGCAGCATGGGGAACAAGCAGGAGGAATTAGAGGTCTGTGTGCGGGCTAAGGGTTATGATCTAGTAGCAATAACAGAGACATGGTGGGACAGCTCACATGACTGGAATGTGGCCATGGATGGTTATGTGCTTTTTAGGAAAGATAGGGCAGGGAAGCGAGGTGGTGGAGTTGCTCTTTATGTGAGAGAGCAACTAGAATGTATTGAGTTTCGTGCAGGGGCTGATGAGGGGCAAGTTGAAAGTCTGTGGGTAAGAATTAAGGGGCAAGCAGGTGCGGGTGACACAGTTGTGGGGGTCTACTACAGACCTCCTGATCAAGGTGAGGAGGTTGATGAGGCTTTCTACAGGCAACTGAAAGCAGCCTCACAACTACAGTCCCTGGTCCTCATGGGAGATTTCAACTACCCTGATATCTGCTGGAAGACTCACACAGCCAGCCTTTCACAGTCTAGGAGGTTCCTCCAGTGCATTGATGATAACTTCTTAATGCAAATGGTGGACAAGCCGACTAGAAGAGGAGCGCTGCTGGATCTTGTACTAACCAGCAAGGAGGGCCTTGTTGAAGCAGTGGTGGTCAATGGCAGCCTTGGCTGCAGTGATCATGAGATGGTGGAGTTCAGGATCCTGTGTGGAAGGAACAAAATACCCAGCAGGACCAGAACCCTGGACTTCCACAGGGCAAACTTTGGTCTCCTCAATCATCTATTAAGGGAAATCCCATGGGACAGGGTGCTAGAAGATAAAGGAGCTCAAGATAGCTGGTCAACATTCAAGGACCACTTCTTGCAAGCACAGGATCAGAGCGTCCCAATGGTTAGGAAATCTAGTAAGGGTGCTAGGAGACCTGCATGGTTAAAGAAGGAACTACTGGGCAAACTTAAGTGGAAAAGGAAAATCTACAGATCATGGAAGGAGGGGCTGGTCACGTGGGAGGAATATAGGACTGTTGTCAGAGGATGTAGGGAGGCAATTAGGAAAGCTAAGGCCTCCTTGGAACTTAACCTTGCAAGTCAGGTTAAGGATAATAGAAAGGGCTTTTTCAAATACATAGCTAGCAAAACTAGCAATAGAGGCAATATTGGCCCATTGAGGAATGAGGTGGGAGCCCTGGTGACAGAGGATATAAAGAAGGCAGAGGTGCTGAATGCCTTCTTTGCCTCTGTCTTCACTCCTGCAGGGTCTCCCTATGAGCCCCAGATTCATATAGCCCCAGAAGAAGTCAAGATAGAGGAAGAGTTTGACATGGTAGATGAGGATTGGGTTAGGGATCAGTTGAGTAATCTGGACATCCATAAATCAATGGGTCCAGATGGAATGCACCCAAGGGTGCTGAGGGAGCTGGCGGAGGTCATTGCTAGGCCACTCTCCATCATCTTCAGTAAGTCATGGGCAACAGGTGAGGTGCCTGAGGACTGGAGGATAGCAAATGTCACTCCAGTCTACAAGAAGGGCAAGAAGGAGGACCCGGGTAACTATAGACCGGTCAGCCTCACCTCCATCCCTGGAAAGGTGATGGAACAACTTGTTCTTGGCACTATCTCCAGGCACATCAAGGACATGGGGGTCATCAAGAGCAGTCAACATGGTTTTATCAAGGGTAAATCATGTTTGACTAACCTCATAGCCTTCTATGAGGAAATTACTAGGTGGATAGATGATGGTAGAGCGGTAGATGTGGTTTATCTTGATTTCAGTAAAGCATTTGACACCGTCTCCCACAGCATCCTTGTAGAAAAGTTGATCAGGTATGGGTTTGGTGATCAGGAAGTGAGGTGGATTAGGAACTGGTTGAAAGGAAGGAGTCAGAGAGTTGTAGTCAATGGGGCAGAATCTGGTTGGAGGTGTGTGACTAGTGGAGTCCCACAGGGGTCGGTACTGGGACCGGTGTTGTTCAACATCTTCATCAACGACCTGGATGAGGGTATAGAATGTACCCTCAGCAAGTTTGCTGATGACACTAAGCTGGGAGGAGTGGCTGACACACCAGAAGGCTGTGCTGCCATTCAGAGAGACTTAGATAGGTTGGAGAGTTGGGCGGGGAGAAACATGATGAAATTCAACAAGGGGAAGTGCAGAGTTTTACATTTGGGGAAGAACAACACCATGTCCCAGTACAGGTTGGGGGCTGAACTGCTGGAGAGTAGTGTAGGTGAAAGAGACCTGGGGGTCCTGGTAGACAGGAGGATGACCATGAGCCAGCAATGTGCCCTTGTGGCCAAGAAGGCCAATGGCATCCTGGGGTGCATTAGAAAGGGTGTGGTTAGTAGGTCAAGAGAGGTTCTCCTCCCCCTCTATTCTGCATTGGTGAGGCCACATCTGGAGTATTGTGTCCAGTTCTGGGCCCCTCAGTTCAAAAAGGACAGGGAACTGCTCGAAAGAGTCCAGCGCAGAGCTACGAAGATGATTAGGGGAGTGGAACATCTCCCTTATGAGGAAAGGCTGAGGGAGCTGGGTCTCTTTAGCTTGGAGAAAAGGAGACTGAGGGGTGACCTCATCAATGTTTACAAATATGTAAGGGGTGAGTGTCAGGGGGACGGAGTTAGGCTTTTCTCAGTGATGACCAGTGATAGGACAAGGGGTAATGGGTGTAAATTGGAGCATAGGAAGTTCAAGGTGAATATCCGAAAAAATTTTTTTACTGTGAGAGTGACAGAGCACTGGAACAGACTGCCCAGGGAGGTTGTGGAGTCTCCCTCACTGGAGACATTCAAAACCCACCTGGATGAGTTCCTGTGTGATGTACTCTAGGTGACCCTGCTCTGGCAGGGGGGTTGGACTAGATGATCTCTCGAGGTCCCTTCCAGCCCCTAAGATTCTATGATTCTATGATTCTATGAATATTTTAAATTTTTTATACTACATAAATAGGACCTCAATGGCATTTTAAAATCTCTTTAAGAAAGGGCTTAAGAACAACTGTTACTTCACTTTTTTAAGGATGTGTTTTCTTGAAAGTTACTTTGAGATTTAATTTAGAAGTTTATTCAATTGGCTTGTTACTAAGAATATTCATATTAGGGAATATGAAGTCAGTGCCTTCATAGGTGGCCATATATTGCAGGAATTCAGAAGATCTCTTGGACAAGGTGAAGAAATTATTTGGTGAACCCAGTCAGAAAAATGAAGATCTGAAAAATGAGGTCCGGGACAAGCTGGCAAACTACCACACCAAAGTTGATGATGCTCGAGCTCTGCTAAGAGAAGCTACAAGCAAAATTAGGGAATCTGATCGTTTATCTGCAGTCAACCAAAAAAACATGACCTTGGTAGAGGTAAGTGCTGACAAGTTTTGCCCTTGATTACTTGGAGTCTGATCAGAATTTGTAATTTTGCATGATTACAATTTGAATCAAAAATATAAGCAAACCAAAAAATATTATTAAAATATAACCATATCTGATGTAATTAAAAGGAAACATCCTCAGAATGAGGAAATGCATTGGCTTTTAGAAGTAAAATTACTGCCCAGCTTTATCAAAATGATACCATTTGCTTCTAAACACTGAGCAGAGGGTACATTGTCTTTCCTATTCTGGAGGAGATTAAATTCATCCCAGTATAATAAGTCATGTAAAATTCAAATCTTGTGCTCAAGATTTAAGTAGGAGTTCAGTTAAAATCTTTCCTGTCATGTATTTGCTCCTAGAAAGCTTACACTTTCATGTCCTCTTCAAACCCTGGGAAGAAAACTGAAGGGCGTGTGTGGATATTACAGAGTAATAAATCAAACTCTATCCTCTGTCGTTAGTAGCTGCTATAAATGATCTCACTCATAGCAGGAAGGTCTACTTGTGATTTAATTTAAATTGTGGAGACTTAAAGAGCATATTATATTGTGCATCGACAAGCATTTAACCAAGACATAAAGAGCAGAGTCAACCTAACGAAGATAAATATTTCAACTCTGTATCTCAATGAGCTTTCACCTCATGGACAGTGATGAGGTTAGAGTTCCGAGACCTCAATTCTCAGCCAAGATTTGTGGACTAGATTGAATTAAGGAAATACAGTGCTGGAAAGAAGTTAGGTGGTCTCTGTTCTGTGCATTTACTTCTCAAAGGTGGCTGGATAAAGGCTGAAGAAATTACCTGCTATCCTGGTTTTCAAAACATTCTCTGCATAACAGTATCAGAGTGCCTTCATAGCCAGAGAAGGTAATGTCAAAATGAAGAACTTACAAGTCTGAATAAAGATTAGGTTTTCAAACTTTTTTCTGATTCATTTGCAATAGTACTACAGTCAGTTACCTCTGTTGTAGAGCAACAAAAACCTGCCATGTGGGAGGGGCATACAAAACTGGGGACAGGATGAGAAGAGAAAGATAGTTTACATTTTATGTGCTTTATTGTTGTCACTGTCTTTGCTTGGAAAACTCAGAGAATTCCAGAAGTAGCATTGTGACAAAATGCAGTCTTGTATTGGGATACTGGTATTTGAACTGGCATCCCTGTTCTAGTAACCAACTCATATTTTTCTTTGTGTGAACACTTCTTATAGAAAAAGAAGCAAGCTGTAGAAGACGGCAGACAAGCTGTTGAGAAGAGCCTACAGGAAGGGAATGATATCCTTAATGAAGCCAGCAAACTTGCGAATGAAATCAGCTTAGCTATAGAGGTGAGTGTATTATCTGAGAATTAGTACAACGAAGCATCATTACAAAGGCAAAATAGATAACTAAAGCAACACCTAATTTATTTTTTTTCTTTTTATTTATCAATGTTGGAATATTTGCATTGGAAAAACATATTTTTTTCCATTACTGTGTGGCAGAAAAGCCAATCTATTATATATAAATTATTAACTTTGAGATTGAAATGAGTCATTGGATTACATAAAGGGGTAGCTCATATTTTTTCATGGATTCTGCCTTCTTTCATAAAGATGATATTGTGATTGTGCTACCAACTGTATCTTTTGAATTGCAGATGCAGCAGATCCAGTCACAATCTCTTTGCAACTCTGTGATCTAGATGTAGATTTATCTGCACAAAAACTGTGTATGCATATCAGAAGGAAGCTTCAGAAATAATTTGTTGCCTGTGGCAACAATTTTAAGTCTACATAGACTTAAAAGTCTCGATAGGCTCCCCCTAGGGACTGGAGATGTTTGCATTTTCATTTTGGATTTTTTTGAAAGTTCAGCGTTAAAAGTTTTATCAACAGAGCTTGAGATCAGTGCCTTAGCTACAGTAAAAATTAATAAAAACTATTGAAATATCATTGGTTCTAGAAGTATTTCCATCTTGTATTAAAAATTGTTATAATGAATGGAAAAATGCCTTTCAGAGAAACAGGAAAGGAAACACTTTGAGACAGTCTATTGGAACAGGAATGGCAGGTCTTACAATAATATAATACTTACAAAGATACTTTAATAAGCAAAAATACATATGAGTCACTCAAAGGATCCTGAAACATGAAACTTCTCTCATTGTTTAGTTATTATTGTGGAGCACAACAACAATTTATTATAACTAGTTATGAATCTACATTCAGAAAAGAAATCCGAATTAAAGTTTATAAATTTTAAAACTGTGCAGTTCATTAATTGTAAAATAAAAATTTCTACTAAGATCAAAAGAAGCAAACAGCTCTTGGAGTATTGCTTTGCCTCCCCTCTGTTCTCCAGTGCAGCCATTCCATTATTCTTTCCATATTCGTTCCCTGAAGTCTTAATGCATGGCTAAGTTAAGAGATAATACCTCACAAGGAAAAATAAATATATAAAGGGCTACAGAGTGCTTGCATTCAACTGCTTAAAGGCCTTCTTTTTTCTTTTTTTTTTTTTTTCTTTTATTGTAATTTTCAGTATGTAGAAGATGTTGCAGGAAAGATGCAGCCCATGTCTGACCAGCTGAAGGATAAAATAGATGACTTGTCACAAGACATTCGAGATAGGATGCTTCCAGAAAAGGTGTTGCAAGCTGAGAACCATGCAGCCCAGCTGAATGAATCATCTGCAATACTGGATGGGTAAGGCAGCCATTCATTGGTAATGAAAAAATCATGGAGCTGGTGTGGAAAATTGCTTGACAGAAATTGAAGGGCATTCTGAGACGTCGAAAGCTGTCACTGGGAGCATACAAATAACCAGTGTTCTGTATGAGCACACAACTATCCAGCTGGTTGGTTTGCGTATCTCTTGTAAACCCTTTCAAACATCTTGTGGTGCTTACAGGCTGCACTAACTCCAACAGTGCCCTCAGATGCACTCATAGAACAGTGTAACTTACCATATGCTGGCTGCTATGTTGATGTGGATAAACCTGAACTTTGTCTTACAGAGACCACTGTGTGTTTTCATAAGCATTTGTTTAAAACCAGCAGTATTTTTTTATTTTTAAGATTATCATTTTGCTAGGAGACCCTTATGGTGATACTAATTTTTTCACTGTCCAAAATCCCCCATAGTCACAGATCATAATCCTTCTAGTGGGTTCAGAATACTCTTCCAAAAACAGTAGGTGTCATGGGCCAAAATGCTTAAGCCTAAGTACAGAAATTTTAGTTTCTGTTTACCACTGTCACATTCCTAAATATAAGTGAGAACTGCGGTGCCCTTGGTTTATATGACCACAGCCCTTTCAGGAGAAGGATACTTTATACTTCATGGTGAATGTAGTTTTCTGGTGACAGCCAAACATGGCTTCACTAAGGGCAAGTCATGCCTGACCAATCTGATGGCCTTTTGCAATAAGGCTACAGAGATGATGGATGGTGGCAGAGCAGCTGACGTCATCTACCTGGATTTGTGCAAAGCACTTGACACTGTCCCACATGACATCCTTGTCTCCAAACTAACAAGGCATGGGTTTGACAGATGGACCACTCGGACAATAAGAGATTGGCTGGATGGCTGCAAATTCTTCACTATAAGGGTGGTGAGGAACTGGAGTGGGTTACCCAGGAAGGTTGTTGATGCCCCACCCCTGAAGTTCTTAAAGGCCAGGTTGGACAAGGTTTTGTGCAACCTAGTTTAGTGGCAGGGCTCCCTGCTCACAGCAGGGGGGTTGGAACTTCATGATCTTCAAGGTCCCTTCCAACCTTAATGATTCCATGATTCTATGATAAATTGTAATATTTAACAGTAATACTCAGAAATAGATAATGGATATTCTACCTCACGGACCCCAGCATAATTTTATTTTATTTTTTTTAACGTAGACAATATGCTCCTTTTGCTACTTACGTATTTTAGAACTGTCTGAAGACTTTAATGTCCTGAACACTTTATTATCACAGACTTGTGAGCAGATGCTTAACACATTTTTTTCCTGCCAGCATCTGTAGTTTTGAAGGAAAGACACAGACTTATCTCTGATAAAGTGTCTCATGCTTGTAAAATATATGTATTTTTGTATGTATATTCATATGCACATTCATACTTCATATACAGTGCAGTCAGCTACTCTAGATATTCAATCTGATTTATGTTTTGAGGAGTACAAAGAATAATGATAGCTGTAGTTACCTAATTAAAAAGAATTTGAAGGGCACTGCTTCTAGAAAAATATGGCTTATGTAAATGTGCATTGTCCAATCAGGACATAAGTTTTGTGGTGCACCTCCAGACCTAAAGTAAGTCACTAGTGTCTTATCCAACCACAGTATCCATGAATTTCGATATAAACATCCAAATACATGGAAAGTTGTCATGGAAGAATTATGAAGTAGAGCAAATGTAGACAGAAAATAATATTTTTGCCTCCTTAATGCAAAGTTAGCAAGACGCTTTTTGAGACAGAGGTTTTTAATTATCCTAAATAGGCTTTTTGTGGGTAGGTGCTATACCACAATGAATGCGAATTTAAACACTACCCTAAGCCCCTTAAGACCAAGCTGAATCAGACATCAACTTCAGTTTCTCAAGATATACAATAAAAATGCATAATCAAGGATATTAAAAATTAAATCTAAAAGCAAATTGTTGAAAATCAAAATTTCTATTGTGGCCAGATAGATACATCATTTCAAAAGAGAAAGAAATACCAAGGTTCTATGTAATCCTGTACAAGGGTAAGCTGTTTACTTCATGCACTGACATTGAGCAGTCATACTTTACAGGAATATGCAGTTTCTATCTGACTTAGGGATTAAAAAATGTATCTATCTTCACAACTGGCACTTGGGTGTCTTTCAGTTAACACTGAAATTGCTGAAAAATGCCGTTTCATCTTAGAGGAGAAATGGAGGGAGAGCCCCTTCTCTTCAGTCACCCCCTAAGGCTTCAACTAGTACATTGATCAATGGTGAGAGTGTTTTCTTGAGAGTCAAAACATGGAACTGTTCATTAATTTAACCTAGAAGAAATTGTTATTTTTCCTGTATACAGGAAACACTTCTCCCTTATAGTTAATCATCTGCTCATGAGTAAACTTAATTAGTATTTGGCAAATTAAGTTCTGTTCCCTGCTAACCAAAAGGGATTTGAACCACATTTCTAAGCAGAACCTGAGCTACTAGGTAGACAACTGTTTTGGGCTGTTCATTTCTCTAACAGTGCAGCTCAAAAAACTAACTATAGCCTAGTGAGCTCCATCTGTAGTTGAGGAAGGAGAGATGCTTTTCCAGGAGTGATTCAGAGGCAGCTCAGTCATGCTTATTCTGCATTAGCCTAAAGGGTCTCTCTCTCCCTCTATTAAGCCCATGTGGAGTCCAGGGAGTAGATGTTCCGTCCCCTTTGTCTTTCCTGTTGCATTTTGTAGAAATCATTAAATACTCATTGAAGCGAGGATTGGAGCCCAGCTGTCACTGTTCCCCAGAGAATAGGTTAATTACTAGATTAAAGAATGAGTTTCTCTTCCACACACACTGTCTCAATGACTAAATATTTTATACAAGCTGGAACAAGTCCAGCAGGAGTAATCTCTGCCTCTCTTAAATTACTGTACACCTTGATAGCTAGAATATTTCCCAGAGAGGCAAAAATCTGAGTTCAAATCTGTTCTTGTCCCTTTCAAGTAGGGATTTTAGCCCATTTTCTCTTTATTCAGGAAAAGCATTATAGGCATCAGGCATAATGTATTCTGAGATAGATGTCTTCAGATTAATTCTGTAGGTACAGTACTTCTTTGTAGAAAATACTTGAATGTCTCATGCCGAGAGAGTGCAACAAAAGTTATTTCTCCAGCCTGCTGGCTAGAAATCCCTCAGAAAGAGGGTCAGCTGAGCTCCATTCCCTGCACCAAGAAATATTATTTGTATATAATTACTTTTAAATCTAATTACATTTACTGGAATAGATTATTTAATGTAACTGGAACACCCCATTCAATATGAAGCATTATTGGTTACGTTTTTTGTTTTGGTCAACAAAATTAACATTTAGGATTTGCTTTGAACAGTGAGATCTCCAAACCTGGTGGTTTTGTGTTTGGCAGCCAGACAAAGAAATCAGTTGTTCATAGATTTTACTTTAAAACATGACTCTGATGATTCCCCCATGTTCATACAGTGCAAAATTAATTGAGTTGCCTGGCTCAACACAATCTATAAACCCACGTTAGGAATATATGCTATCTGGATTATGGTGTTAAACACTACACTATCTTTTATCAGTGTCTCGTCCATTTTTCTCTCACAGAACCTCCTCTTTTAGTAACATTATTTTTCATGCCTTTCTACACAGATAAAATGTGAGTTCCATTAAACACATGATGCCAGAACTCCTGAAATCTCAAGTGCAGTGTTGCTCTATAAAGAAGTGCCTTAGAAGTAGCCTTAGAAGTGCAGGGTGTTTGGTTTGAAAAAGTGGGATACAATGTAGCAGGTTTAACGGTGCTTTTACTTTTGCCATCCCAACAGAATCCTTGATGAAGCCAAAAACCTCTCTTTCAATGCCACACTTGCTTTCAATGCTTATACTAACATCAAGGATTACACAGATGAAGCTGAAAAAGTTGCCAAGGAAGCCAAGGCTCTTGCAAATGAAGCCATGCAAGCGGTAAGAAAAATAAGTAAATTGGAAAGAAGACTTACATTTTCTGTAGAACTGTGCTGCCCCTTTTCTCAGATCCATGTTTTGCCATTTTATGACTGTATTTAGAGACCCCTACCACCAGCAGCTCTTGTGTTTAAGTCAGAAAACTATTCCCCTGTCAGAGCTACCTTCAAACTACATCCCCATTTGTTCCTAACTCCTTTTCCTTATCTTGCTTTCCCCTTTTGTTTACTGTTTTTCCTCCCTCTGTTTTCCACCTTTCAGTCCCTATCTATGTATGGCTCAAGCTAACAGCTGATGCAAGGAAAGCTTTAAGTCAGGAGTGTAGATCATTTGATGCTCAATAAAGCTACTTTATATTTAGCAAATGTTTTGCGCACATCTAAGTAGTCACAGAATCACAGAATGGTTGGGGACATCATCTAATCCAACCCCACTGCTAGAGCAGGTTCACCTAGAACATTACATTCTTTAAAGTATTCATAATACATAGTGTGGGAAACCTCATTTTGGCAAATTTGGTTAGAAGTGGTTAGAGAAATCACTTAGAAAAATATTACTCTAGCATACTTACATACTATCAGTTAAAAAGAGCATGGAATATCTCAGTTAAACATCTTCTTCTCGTTTCTGGAGGTGGCCACTGCATTAGGATTACCAAAACCATCCCTAATCCTTCCATGTCAGGCAGAAGTACCCACACAGTCACCTGTTCTTACAAGCTCTATATTCCTAGATCCAGATCACACAGCTGCTGAAATCATGGATACTTTTTGATGAAGTGAAATAGCAGCAGGCAGAAATAAAAACATATCTGAAGAACAGTTTGGAGGGAGTTGGAACAAATCCTCCAAATAAAACAAGAACCTCTTAGCTTTCAGTTTCTCATGCATGAAATTTACAAAACTGGAAATGAAAAACATTTTCTGGTCTGAACTTTCTTCTTCCCTGAGATAAGGTTCTAATCAGGACAACACTTGCTTTCTTCATGGTCTTTTAAACCGGTAGATCCAGAGCAGTTGTGTAAACAGGACTGCGATGCTCCCTACATGCTTGAACTCCATACCTTGAGTAACTATTCACACTCTAGTTCCACAAAAATGCTCAGAGGCACTCCTGTGCACCTCAGATGAACAGCGTGCATCCAGCAGAATCCTAAAAATAGAGCATTGTACAAGAGGAGCAGAAAGTTCTGCTTATAGAAGCCATACAGCTCCTTTTGTGAACTCTGCTGGTTTTGCAGACAAATCTCATTCTCAGGATAAGGTACTGCATGCAGATTTTTTTGGAGAAAACAGAGAGAACTTTTAAAAGTAGGATTGTAAGGTAGTGCCAGCTCTCCAGCCTGAGTCTTAATGAGCATTTCAGGTTCATAATGCGTATACTGTGAGCGGAAGATGTTCTGAGCATAGCCACAATTATATTTTTGTCAAATATCAAAGGAGATAATGGCTAATTTATGGAAGCTGGTTAGAAAGCAACCAATGTGCACTTTGCAGGCACACAGAAACACAAGGAAATTACAGTATAATATGAAATTGCCAGACCCCATATTTGATATAGAAAAATGTAGATGAGCTGAAGCAACATGTAGGTACAGCCTCATACATGAATAAAGGTTTCAGAGAGGTACTTCAGTCAAATGGATTATAAGAATAGCAAAAGCAATCACATGCTGTAAAGGTTTGCATTTAGGAGAAGGATAAAATGATCTAGCTACTGCACAAGAAATGTAATATTTTTAGGATGTTTACATTTTCAAATTCTTTTTCAAATAACACTAATTACTGTATTTCTCTCTTCATGAAAATATTTCACCTCATGCATTAGTATGTCCTAGTTCTCTGTAAATAGTTGTTTGTACCATTGAAACTCCTAATTACACTGCAGAAGTAAATAATGAGCTATCTTTTGCTTCCTTGGTGGCTTGCTGAGTGAGGCAGGCAGCTGTTTTAGGGATTGGGTAAGAAAAAAAGACACAGCACTCAAGAAACAAAGGAAGTGATTACAGTATGGCTACAGAAGAGTATATCTATCAGACAGTGAACAGGCTGATTATACAGTGGAGACAAAGTGGGTAGATTATTTGTAAGGGATGGAGGTGAGGATGGGCAATATGATGTAAATAGAAGCAAGTTAGTAGCAAGAAAAGAGACTAAGAGATGATGAAGGAGAGGTTTTAAGCATCACCACTGTATATATTTGTTAGAGAGAGCTTGTTTTCATTATGAGCTGTGTATGTGTAACAGGGATCTAGTTGATAAAGAAAATGGAGAGAGCTGCTGCTTTTAAAATGTAATGTGATTTATATAGAGATAATCAGTGGTTTGCCATCAAATTGCTGCAGAGCAAGGTAGATTTTAACTGTTATTTGGTAAATGATCATGTGGGGATTCTGGGTCAGATTTGAAAAGTATGTTAATTTTGAAGTTCAGTCATCATTTCACTATTCTGTTTTCTTGTTTGTTTTATGCAAAGACTGTTGAATGTTTGCTCATGCTAAGTGAAGAGCTTAACTGCTAACCAGGTAGATCAGTATCCCTCTTTCTGCAGGCCCCAAGGAACTTATTTTTAACTGAGCATCAGCATGAGAGCAGAATCTTAATGCTATCTCAGGGTTTTTTTTGGTTTTTTAATTTGGAATGGAAAAATTACTTTGTTCTCAAATTAAGCTAATGTTGCTAAAAACAAAAATTAAAAGATGCTTAAAATTCATTGTAATTACAGGAAGCCTGATAAAAGACCACGAAAATGTGTTGAAAATACGTCAGAAAAATTCCTCCTGAGCTTTTTATAATGGATTTGCTCTCCCCTTTAAAAGCAAAATAAATTTATCATGGATGAGAAATCTCTAGCTTTCAAGCAGGTTCAATATCCCATTCCTTAGCCAAGGCAGTAACTAACTAAGAGCAGTCTTGTTAACAGATACAGCTTGTGTCTCACAGATTGGAATCATAGTTTTACAATACATCTTGAAAAAGTGTGATTATTCTTCAGAGGGCTTGTAGCCTGGTAATTGGAACCACAGGGGACATGTTAGTTGTTTAGGATCCCAATTCTTTCTTTGCTTGTGGCTTTCATTGTAGTAGTACCCCAACAGTTCTGTCGGGTGTCTAGTTTTCCTTGTATGGTAATGGCACAAAGCTGCCTAGTCACCCTCCTCATGAGGATGTCCTGAGGTGCAAATCATTCATGACATTTTGGTATTGCAGCATGTTCAGCTACCTTCAGGACTGGTAAAAAAGAGAGTAGCTCAAGCTATTGTGTGGGTGAAAACCTCCCAGAATATAAATGTATGTGAAAAGAAAATAAGTTAATTTGACTGTGGTTGATCTTATTCCAGCTTGCAGCATGTAGTACATTTCTCTGTTAATGTGATTGGATATTCTTTCTGAATTCTTTCCTTACCCAAATTGTCTGCCAATTGTCAATTCATAATTATTTTTTCTGTGATTGATAGATGAGGGGTTTTTTTGCTAAATTGTTAATATTTCTGTTTACGTGGATAAGAAGAAAACTGTTAAGGATGGTGTATAGTTTCAATAGCAGTATTTTGTATTATATAACTATAACAGCACTTACGCCTCTAAACCGTGGTTAGGTTTGCATTGTTCAGATACATAATGAGATCCCATTTCTGCCAGAAGATGCTACAAGCAGTCAAACCGTACAGAGTTGGCATGAAGGGGGTAGGGGGTGGAAGGAAGGCACAGAATGAGGGAGGTACTATACTCAGGTTATGGATGCTCTGGAAGAGACAGAGTCAGAACAAATTAGATTCTTGAGACCCTGCGATTTCCCAGTTTATCTTGGATCATACTAATTTTTTACTTTACCCAGGCTTGCCACAAACGCACTTCACACTAAGCCAAAAAAGGTTTGTTTTTTTATTTCTTTATTGACTTCATCATAACTTGACATCTCATGAGCCACAAGAAAAGCTAATAAAAAAAAAAAAAAGAGAGAGATGCTTTACATCAGATGTCTTGATTAATCTTTCAATTTCAGAATTGTTTTAAAATACATTTTTTAAAAAGCTTTTAATCAGTACAAGCGTATATGTCTTTGAAGGGGCTTTTCTAGTATTAACTTAATGCCAAAATCTGTTTTTGTCTAATTGTCAGCACATGCCAAACTATTGTCCTTGATTTGATTAACTACTTGGCTCTGCACAGTAAATCTGGCCTGCCAGCTTCATTGTATTGAATATAAACTGCTTTAACAGCCAGTAAAACATGCCTAATCATTTAATAATAATAGCAATCATTATTTTTAAGTCCATGGTCACAGAGTGATCATACCCTGGGTTCTGTTGCTAATGGGGAAAGGAATATAAAAGTATTATCTGATTTGACAGGTGCATCTGCCACAAAATCTGGCCAAACATTCTTCCTTTGGGAGCAGTCTTTTGCTTAACTAGATTGTCTATTTTTTTCCCTGGGTTTATATGTATGTGTAGCATTACTAATGCTACCTGTATTAGATAATAAGGAAAAATTTTACTCGTCTTTCAAATATACGGTTTTTGTTGATGTTGAAAGGAATTTGTGTACACAGGTTAATATTTCAGGTGAGTTATGTGGGCCTTGCTTCTTAAAATCACTTAGCCTATGATGAAAGCTAAGCATACATTTACATCCCATATGTATACAAGGAATCTTTAATAGCTATATCATAGCTATATTTAATAGCTATATGGCCATGAGATAACCCGTCAAAAAAAACCTCTGAATTTTGAATACAACCAGAAGTATCCTCTAAGATTTTTACCAGAAAAAGAAATGGACAAGTGTGATCCGAGTTTTTTACAGCGTTGTCAAAAAATACCACCTCTGGACATGCTCATTATATAAATAATGAATAGTAATAATAACTGTGTCATTTAATTGACACACAGTTAATTTTTTAGTATATGTATCTGGCCTGAAAAATTAAAAGTATCTGCTTCTTAATTACGTACTAGTTACAAGGCTGTGACCCATGAATAATACAGAATATTATCTTGCTGTCAGGAGTATTCTCAAATAAACATGTTTGGTATGATGTGTGACCTAAGTTCAGCCTTACAAGCTGAACAGCAAGTGGTTTGGAACCCAGTAATTTTATTCCCTGCGAAATGAAAATACTAATTTGGAAAAATCATTCTATCGATGATTCTCTCTATTGGTTAATCTCTGTACTGAAGATAGAGATGGATGTTTCTCAAAATAAAGATCTTTAGGTAGCATGATATGACAAAGAATGGCTATTTAGTAATAACACTTTCAGATTAACTGTAGTTTCCCCTGCTTTTTAAACTCTATTTCTTTTAGATCATATTTCCTTTACCGACCTAGGAATTACAATTCTTCAATGTAACCACAAAGGCGTCTCTGTTGTCAGTATTAGAATTGAGATCCTTAGAGCTATACTGACTTCTACAGATACTGTAGCTGCTGTTAGGAAGAAATACTGTATTGCATGGTATTGTGTCCACAGCTGGAGGGGTAAGCCTGTGTTCAACTTGAGATGTCTCGTTTCTTTGTTTTGGACAAAGTTTTGCTTCTAGAGTCTAACCTGTTTATTTAACACTATGAATGAACATTTTCTCTCTTTTTTTTAAAGTCATCACTGGTTTTCCAAAGGACATCTGGCTTCCTTAAGAACAAAGGGAAATTAATTGGAGAAAATGTTTTGTCTCTTGAAGACTAATCTAACAGCAGTGAGATATAATTCAGAGCACACTGACATTCACTTAAAATTTAGATTTACTTAGATCATCTTCATATATCTTTTATGACTTCAGACTTTCCTGTATGTATGACACTGCTTGTTTTTCTGCAGACATCTGGTCCTCAAGGATCATTGAAGGATGGCGCCAAGAGCTCTCTTCAGAAAAGCTTCAGGGTCCTTAATGAAGCCAAGATGTTAGAAAATGATGTCAAAGGTATGTGCAGTATGTGACATTCCGGCCCATTAAATACAAGGAAAGCATTGTGAGGCTGCTATGCTTCCAGTATTAAGCAGCCATGTCAGTAGAAAATCATAGAATTCATTATCTGATTTGAAACTGAACAACGTATCAGTGAAAAATATTCTCCTGATTTGGGTCCAGGCATTATGCAGGGATGCTTGTCCCCTCTGTCCATGTCTTGGACAGGAAGGCTGAGGAAATTGGAGCCCTGGTCTTCTCTTGCTGACTACAGCAAGGGCAAGAGTAAGGGGGAGGAGAGGGGGACGGAAATACTGTTTCTGATGTACTAAATGCTCTAGCAGAAAATGAGTACAAAAAAACAGCCCAGCATTAAATTTTTATTCTTGTCAATACAGAAGCAGTGTTTGCAATGCCAGTCAGAGATATCACATCTCTTCAGGATGCTTATGGCATTGTGCCAGAAAGAGGTAGAATGAAGATGTTTGCCAAACAGAGAGTAATGGGAGGGAATTGCTAAGCATTTTCTTAAAAAAATGAAACTAAAAACATGTCTCTAGGGAAAAACTATATTTTCAAACACACAAAAAATATTTATTTGTTCCTAAAACATAAATACATCTAAATGCAGCTCAAGTTTGTTGATTCCAAACCAAATACTTTGGTTTCCCAGTTAAAGATAAAACATTTCTATTCAATATTTTCCACTGAAGAACAAATAAAAATGTTTTGAACTATGCTGTTTGGTGAGATGTAAAATCTGGTCATTCATGTCAGGCTATGCTTATAACATCCTTAATATTTTCTCATCAATAAGTGAGGGCATTAGTGTCAGAAGGTAGGACAGCAGTCAGTATAGACACACAGAAAGTGTTTTGTGCATACATGAATAATCAGCTGCAGAAATGCAGGATGAGGAGCAATTGTCTGGTAGCATTTCTCTATAATGAGACTAAGGAGATGCATGGAAAAGGCAGATTTCACAGAGGAATGCATGAAGAGGAGCATAGCTTTCCAAAACACATGAAATGATCCTTCCAATCCATTTAGGGTTCCTAGTGGTTCAGCTATATTACTGGCTATGGTCCTGGGCACTGAACTTTGTGAGGGCTGAAGTGGTTTACAGAAGGTCCTGAAGCCGTAATGAAAACTAATAGGAAATCTATGGAAGGAGAGATGAGCATGAAGATTGAAATTATTTAAATTATTTAAAATAGTAGACTGAAAAAGAGACAATTGAGTAGGAACTTAATATGTTTCAGTTGTGTCAAGGTTTCTCTAAAGAAGATGAGACTAACATATCTCAAATGCATTGATACAGATCCCATATTAGGAAGACCTTCCTTGCAATTAAAATACACAAGTACTGGAATTTAGTACTGAGGAGATTAGGGAGATTCTTTGAAAACCGCTGAGACAAACATCAGTGAGGAATGACTCTTGGTCAGAAAGAGAAAAATGATCTTTGGATAAAAATCAGTTCTGAGCCTATGATTCAATGATCTGATCACTGCAACCAAAACCAGTTTCTTTCTTGCATCTTTATCCAGACAGACAGTTTTATAGGTCCTCTAAGAAAATACTTATTGCAGCACTAATGAAGCCTCTGTTTGACAGTACTCAACACTTCTTTCACCACAGCAAACTTAGAAGAAAATTGTAAAAATAATTCATTTTGACTAAACCTGAGGGGAAATAAGCATGATGCAGTTATCCACTTTCAAGTAGGACAACGTTGAGTTTCACACATCTGCCTTCTGGAAAAATATTAAACGTTAATGTTCAATTGTTTTGTTTTTACATATCACAAAGAAAGCAACTTAAAAACAGAGTGTTTGTGCCACTGGTGTAGTGAAGTCTGAGGGAAGGATCAATTAACTGAGTCCTCCATTTTGAAGGTCTTTCATCCAAATACTGAATAATATTTTGATTAGTCTAGGCAGAATAATTTCAAGTTGATAACTTTGTGGTTTATTCCAAATTTATACACTGTAATCCGCTCCCTTTTGTAATTTGAAATTTTGTTGTGTGCGTTTTGGTAGAAGCTTGTGTCCAGTCACAGTAGTTTTGCAAAAAGTCGTTCATACTAGTTTAATCTTACTCAACTGGCTGAAGACATAATACAGCTAACCTGAAATTAACCACAAGGATGGTGTCACAATCTGATCCTGTCTGTGATGTCAATTAATGTCATGATCCGGTATTTGGATACCTGGCAATTTTTTATAAAGGTGATCCCAAATGGTGAAATTAGCACACAAACGAGGTCAGATGTCACACACACAACAAACTTTTATCGCAGTAACACAACAAAAGTCCCTAGAGCGGGTAGGACAGGGAGGAAAACAGAAACAGAAAAGAGAGGAGAAAGCAAAGAGATGGAGGACAGCAAGAGAGAGCATAGTTACCACCCACGGTTCAGCGATGTCTTCAGTGGGGAAGTGGTTCCTGGTGGGGAAGTGCTTCCAATGCACCCATAGAGTCCCAGATTTTTATACAGTTCTTGCCCACTGCACCCCCACTTTTCTCCCTGCATAAGGGAGAAAATCCTTCTATCTTCTCCTTGATAGCAGGGGCAGGTATGATGCCAGGGGCTATGTAGTCTTTGTTTGGCTAATTGATGAGATCAGCCATTACAAAAGAGGAGGTTGAGTCAACTGGCACCACAGGATTAGTTTGTTGAAGTGAAGTTTTGGTCCTAGGAAGTGGCTTGAGACTGGCACTCCTTGTCTTGTCCTGCTAAGTTGGTGGTTTTCATATCAAGGCCTGGTTACCACTGGATATTCTGCTCCCATCACCAGCTGAACTCCCCAGTTCTCAGGTACTCCTCACAGGAGGGAAAGCAAAACGGTTGGGTGGGTTGCTGAGACATCTCTTTAGTCCATCAGCAAATGTTGTTTAATCCACAAGACAGACAACAGATATCCTGAGTGCCAAAGTCCATCACTTATCTCTTGGAATGTTCAAGATAAGCACTATACATTCTGAATGCCACAGATGGAAAAAGCTTAGCAAAACCTATGTGAGAAAACAGATTTAGGACTTGAAAGAAATAAAGGTGAGGAGAGGAAAACAGCTGTGATACAATATTTTTTGCTCGTCGTGGGATCTGAAAATCAAACTGGGTTGTTTTTTTTTGTTTGTTTCTTGATTAGAACTAGAAAAATCACACACAGTAAATATTTGAGGTTGTGATTTAAACTGCTCATTGCAGAGATGATGCCTGAAGCCTCCCTGGCATGCTAGAATAGTTAAAATATTTTTTATTAGAAACAAGACAGATTTTTATAATACAGCCCAGTCTTTCAGGTTTTAGCACACACATTTTTTGTTGGTCCACTGGGAGAAGCAGTATGAAAAGCATACAGCATGAGGGATGAGAGCCATACAACCTGGAGTCCTCTTTTGGATATTACTGCACTTTGATTTAGTTTTGGCAGCTCTAGGATTTCAAACTGCAAAACTAGTTAACAAGTAAATGAAATGCTTAATAAGGTCATAAAGCAGAATGTTTCAAAAGGTCATTAGTTACATTTTACTGTCACGCACTGTTTGAAAGTTAAAAACATTGTGATTTTCTTGAAGCAGTCCTGAGGAAAAAAAAAATATATATATGTCTGCAGTTCCTAGTAAATCTTAGATGTATGTTTAGGGTGTTCTTTACTGGCAGATTCAGTACAGATTTAGGGCTGGAGGGGCATGTTTCAGCAAATATGTTACAGAAATTCACACAACTACCAGGGGAGCCGAGTGTAGCATGGCTGAAGTAGAAGGAATAGGTTGTTAGTGCCTCTTTCAGGAAAGCAAACTGCTGCAGTTTGCCAGGACTAGTGTCTAGGAAACACTAACACAGGAGCTGCCTCTTCCTTCTGCAGGGTTTCTCTGAGCAGAGTAGACACCACTGAGTGGAGTCAAGGGGTTTGTGTGCTCCCCAGGCAGTTATAACAGAGTAATTCTGTGTTCCATAGAACAGTGTTCTGTTTTCAAGGACAAAATAAAATAGCATCTGTACTTGGATATATGTCAATTCCATGTGCCCACAAGACTGTCCAATTTAACCCCGAGGAAAAAATGTATTACAGCTCCAGCAAGACATTACTTTAGAAATTTTTGAAAAAGAGTATATTGTTCTCCTGTTTTGCACCTGTGAGGATTTAAGTTTATAACAGTTTCATAATTCAGAAGTGAGGGTCTAAGAAGTCTAAAGATTCATGAAGCAATCTTAATACAAGCAGGGAGCAGTGCTTAAAATGCACGTATTAGATCTTGGTCTATGTTCTTGCCCCATACTGAAAGGTAATGAGATGGAGCATTTTGAATGCTCTCTGATATGTCTGAGATTTAAAGTGCTTCATACAGACAAACATTCTGAACTTTTTACAGTAGGCTATTTTGCATCTGATAAAACATGGCCATGCTCCACAGCATGACCCAAAACGATCAGTTAATATTATGCCCAGAATGTGGTTGCATAAGAACAAAATGCAATGACAGATTTATTTTTTCCACATCCTTCATTTGCTCCAAAGGGGTGATTTTATTATTATTATGAGCATAATCCCTTCTGGATGTCTTGGTGCTTCCAGGATAGGAAATGAGAGTATAAAATAACAGAACACTATTTTTTACAATTCTTACAAAGCCACCCTGTTCAGAGTCTTAACTGGAAGGGCAGGATGGATGATGTACACCCTGTAAAGATCTGTTAGATAGAAGTAATCATTAGTTTAAAATTTCTGTCTGTATTACAGGTAGTACATTAATTAAGGTAATGAAGACCCATAAGCCACTCAACTAATTTAGAAGCCAGAAATTCAGACTGGGCTGTGATGGAGGTGGAAGTGGTTCCTTGCTACTTTATGACATTCCCCTGATTTGTGGCCAATTACTCTAGTTATAAAACGGCTGTTGATCACTGAAATGTTTTATATTACCACCAAAAACTGCTGAAACAGGCCTTACAAAGCAAAGCTTCTGACAGAAGCTATTAAAATAGAGATTTAGTTATTTCTCTCTCTGTGAGGCTAAGAGTTAGAAAGAATAGCACCGATGGGAGAAGCAAAATCTGTATGTAGTTGCTCTGGCTAAGAAGGAGTTTTGAAATTTTGACTACAAATGAGTGAGTGCTGCTTCCTGCCAGCTTCATTCTCTCTGTGCCTTGAGGGATTTTCAGTTTGCCAGGAGCGATTTTTCTTCTTTATAATTTTGCATTTACTGTTTTAAAAATACACTTGCCCCATTGCAGATTTGAGACTATATACAGACTTTGTCAAAACTGATCAATGAAAAGGAAAAATAAGATGTATAAACTCCTCTTCAGCTGGAGATTGCTGTCAGGTGGCTACTGAAATTTAGCTCATGTCATTTATTTTGCTTAAGAATTGACAACTTGAGGGGGACCTGTCTTGTCTGACAACACATGAATATTTTTAGCTAATACATTTTCCAGCTGATAGGCACAGCTAAATCCCTTGTTTGTGCATTCTCCTCTGCTTTATATTTCTGCTGACCTGGCATATTGCATTCTGTACATTATTGCATTAGTTTGATGACCAACATAATATTCATACAGAAACTGCAGCCAGTGCTGAAAGTAGTAATTTTAAAGGTAACCATCATTAGCTGCACTTCTCTGGTATATCTCTTTCTCCTGTTTGTTCAAAATGCCAGGGGAAAAGCAATTAGCTTGTGACCCATCTTCCTCTTTATAGGATGGGACTGTGGAGAGCAAGAAAGCTAGTTGGAAGAAACAAAACAAAGATAACAGAAGGGGATGTGTGTAACTGCCAGTTCATTTGTCAGCATCCAGTCAATAAAGACAGCTGCAGACATCAGTCCTTGATCAATTTCCACTCTTACTCTGTTTTTTGGGGATATGGGTTGGGTAGCATAGCCCTATATCTTCTTTGACAGTTTTATATGGAAAACTGTATTTGGTCATACTATGGAAAGACAGATATTCCCACTAGCATTGTAATGATGGGACATCATCAGTAATGAACTAGTGCCACCTATGTATGTGATCTGCAGACACCTATAAATACTTGTCTCTATTACATATAGAACACTGCCTATAAATGGTAATTAACTAAGTTCTGAAGTGAGTTCCTAATTAAACATATGAGTGTGGACATTTATTTTATTTTCCTTTCATTTTAGTTTATTCACTCAGAGGAAAAATAGGATGATGTTTTATTCTGTAGTTTTTGTGTTTAAACCTGGAAATACAAACAAAAATTTAAAGTCTTTGTTCATGTTAACCAAGCCAGGAAACCTAAAGGTCCATACCTGCAAAGTCCTTCAGGATCCTGCTTAGTCTTTAGGCTTTAGTTTCAGCGAGGCATGAATATTTTTGTTGATTTGAACAATAAACAGTGCATTGATTGGCATCCCGTGCCATTTCTATGCAGAGCTAATCAAGTGGAAACAGACTTGGGAGAAATTTCTCAGGATACTCCTCAGCCTGCACTTCATTGTAAATTGACAGTGCCTGACATCTTTCAGCACAGACCCACTAACATCTTCCAAGTCAGATAATCTCTAGTTTGGAAAGACTTAGATTGTAGCTGCCTGTATTTTGGCTAACCTCTATGATTATTAGTATTTGATATATGACACATTATTATTTGATGGTAATAATAATAATATATTGTATATAATTAGTTATGATATAGTATTATATTATTTATTATTATTGTTGTTATACATCTATATTAACTGGAGGATCTCAGGCCTTCAAGTCATAGCTCCAACATTTTTCATAAATGCTAGCAATTAAAGGATAGGGAAAACCTGAAGTGAAGTCAGTTCAGTCTGTCATTCATACACAAAATTAGCTCAGTGTTTAGTGAAGAGGCCATCTGGATTACAGGATGGGAAGATACTTCAAAATATAACTTCATTTTAATATTACTGTGCAAAATGAATTATTTCCTTAATAAGCTGTCATGGGCCTTAGTATCTCCTCATACCTCTGTGTAAGAGCCTCCCTCTGGGCACTTGTCTGTGGCTTTATTATTAGAATATTTTTTAAAACACAGCTAAAATTATTTTGATGAATTAAAAGTATTAAGCAGGTAGAGACTCAGTATTCAATTTCAGGAGTTCTAGGGAAACTTCTTTTATTAAAATCTATAAAAATCAATTTGCTGCTATGGTTACAAAGCTGAAAACAGAAGTCTGGAAACATGATTCTTCAGAAATATAACCAGAAGATAATTAGGATAATGTTGAATCTGGCAGAATAAAGAGAAGGAGAAGAGATAATTTAAGGCTATGCAACCAAGTTTATGTACCACCACCAGAAGTGAATCAATCTCAGAAGTATTAACACACGTTAAAAACACTAACAATCCAAAAGTACCAGAGACACCAAAGAAATTTCATGCAGACCATAATTTCAGAATTAGATGGAGGAAACTGAAACAATTTTGTTGGTATTACTGCTTAACAAGAAATTAACTCAGATGAAGTGTCAGAGCATTTAAGACCAGAATCTTGTGATTTCATCCTAGTTTAAAACCATCACATTACCAGTAGTCTCATTTATCACTGATGACAAAACCTGTCACTTAAAACTAAAGATGTTTTTGAGGAGAAGGGTGAGCTTATAATTTATATGATTCTTCCCAGCTTTACTCTAGTGTTAACTGTGCCTCTTACAGTTCATATGAATGTCCTGTCCTCTGTGGGACATTTGCACTCCCACAGTCCTCTGTGTTGCGCTAATTTAAATACAGCAACCAGATTTCTTCCTGAATAGCATTTTGAAAGTTCTGACAATAAAACTATGAGTCTCATATAAATTCCATCTGCTATTTCAGTCTTGCTATAGTCTTTGAAAATTTGCTTAATGATTTCTTGTAGGATATATACATTTTGTTTGCTTTTTCTCATTACAAATTTCTTCTTACAAATCTAGTTTTAAGAAGCCTAACATTTTTTATTTTGTGGTACGTGAACCACAATCTTTTATTTTAATCCATTTTTCTGTTTATTCTCTTACAAAAGTGTTCCAGCCCTCATGTTGTTGGGGATGCTGGTGTACCAATGATACATTTAAATACTGTCCTTAAAAATATATATATATATATATGTATATGCTTTTTGTTTTTTTACAAGTATGTGACTATATTTCACTGAAAAAAACCCCTAATCTCTAATGTGTTTTCCTATCCAAGTATCTACTTGGATAAGTATCAAAAAACTAGGTGTTTGTTTTCAATACACTGTCACATATCTGAAGGTTGCAGTCATACTTTGTATCCTGAATTCTGTTTCTATGAATTATTATTCTCCTTTTTGTTATCAAGCACAGTGATGTTGTATTAGTTTCCCAATAGGGCCTGCCTTTAAGGTAAGAATTTACCAGCTGTCTCTTCCAAAGACTTGCATATTACTATGAAGAAATTATGAAAAATGCCCCTAAGGTAGTAGTTTAAGCATTAACTGGCATTTTCTGTGCCAAACTTTACTTTCTAAATTTTGAAACAATATCTGCTTAAATAGCCATAAAGTTTAGCTGGATTCTCACTTTGGAGAGTTTGAAATGTTATTGCTATGCTGGATACTGTCCAAAAAAAACCTCCATAATTTTTATTCAAAGCAACTGCTGAAGGATAGGAACTTACCTGTAAGCATAACATCAGGTTCATGTGCAATGCAGTGAATGTGACACATTTGCCTTTGCTTTGTACTAGTTTGTTGGTTCAAACAAATTCTTAGCTTTGAATTTTATGTACTAGGCAAGCTTTCCCCAAAAAAAACTTAGTGTGTTTTTTTCATAATAGCCTGCTGCTAGTGTAGTCTCCTCATATTAATGATCAGTGCTAAGCCAATCACATATGTTTTCCTCAGATGATATATCAACACTGATTATCTTTGTGAAAATCCAAGAAAACTGGGCTCAGTCAACCATACAACCTGCTATAGTGGACTTCCGTATTTTACACAATATAATATCTTTATGATAAATTGCTTGTTCATTATTATGCATTTTAAATTGTGTGCAAAGAAAGGATAGTGCTAAAACTTCTGTACTATGTGCACTTTCTGTAGAAAAGGGGGATAATCTGGACAGCATGCAGAACAGGCTGAAAGATGCTGATGATAAGAATTCCATTCTCCTGAGAGCTCTGAACGAAACCTTTGGAAAGCTGTCAGCCATTCCTAACGGTAAGCTGGAAAAGTGCTGCAACCCTTGACTCATCCCTGCTCTTTTGTTTCATTTCCTACCACTTAGCATCTGTCTGAATAATCTTTGCCTGTGTCCATGCTGTGTCCACTTTGACCACTGGCCACTGTAATAAGAAAAAGATGCGCATGTGAGAGAGAACTGCACTGAAAACAGACACCTGGTATCAGTTTGTGTTTTGGCATGGTAAAAGCTACTGTGCTTCTGCAATTTGTAGAAGGTTTCAGAAAGAAAATAATTATGATATCATTAATTATGATCCAATATGAGACAAATAGTCTTTTCTTTACATGTGAAAAGTCTTTTTATGAAACTGCTGTTTAATGAATCATTATCATTTAAGTAGTGTGATTTAACCCAAGAAAAATACTTACTGACTTTACAGAAGAGGCAGGATGAAATTTGCTGGGTTTTGTCTTACCTTTCCACCACATTCTCATTGATTTGGGGGTTGTTCAGTCTGGAGAAGAGAAGACTCCAGGGATTCCTCACAGTGGTCTTCCATTATCTGAAGGAAAGCTGGAGAGGGGCTTTTTACAAGGGCTTGTAGCAACAGGACAAGGGGTAATGGATTAAAACTTGAAGAGAGGAGATTTAGATTAGACATTAGGAGGAAATTCTTCACTATGAGGGTGGTGAGACACTGAAACAGGTTGCCCATGGAAGTTGTGGGTGCCCCATCCCGAAGTGTTCAAGGCCAGGTTGGATGGGGCTCTCAGCAACTTGGTCTACTGGCAGGTGTCCCTGCCCATGCAGGAGGATTGGATCTAAATGAACTTTAAGGTCCCTTCCGACACAATCCATTCTATGATTTATACTGCAATATAATTTCTAGTCACTGTTTGGTGTTGTGTATGTTTTCTAGACTGTAATTTGTTCAGTACTAGAACAGCATTTCCTCAGTGAACTCTCAAGTGCTATGCACGTTCTAAATCTGTATAGCCAAAAAAGAGTTTTGAATCATCATTGATACTCTTTAAAATCCTAGAGTCCTGGGGTGTTAGCTACTTCGTGTTGTGATAGTAAGACACAGCTACAGCATAGTGTCACTGTAAACAGAGTCATGGAATGGTTTGGGTTGGAAGGGACCTTAAAGACCATCTAGTTCCACCCCCTCTGCCATGGGCAGGGACACCTCCCAGCTGACCAGGCAACGAACAGTAATAAACTGAATGTTTGTTTAGGAAAATAAAGTAGTTTTTATTAATGTAATTTTCTGCTTTTCTCTCCAAGGAGCACTTCATAAACTGAAGATAAGCCTTAAGGAAAGTCTCTAAAGAAAATCCATGTTTGGTTTGATTTGTGATGATCTGGAAGTTTCAGGCTGCAAGTAAAAACTCAGCATGAAAAACAATATTCTATCGATCTTTTACATTTTTGCAGCTTTAAATTTCAGTTAACTGAAAAGTTCTGTTTTAGATTTAGTGATCCTTGAAATCTGGCATTCAAAAAAATTTGTTTAAATATGTCATGCTCGTCTTATGCCTCTTACTGGGTTTTGACCACAGATGTCGACACGACTGTTTCTCTTCTTGTGCACAGATAGATGTCCAAGTCAAACAAAATGGACCTCTAAGGCCATCTGACCTTACAACACAGAATACTAAATATGCAACAAGTAAAAGAAATATGAAATATGCAACCATCAGCAAAGCAATAAACTCTTGTCAGATTAGAGTTACAGGGTGCCTGCTCTTGAGACAAGGGCACTCCTATAAAGAAATGGATGTGTATTAAGAATGAAATTCAGAGGAAATAAATAGCATGGATAAGAAAATGTAGTAAATTAGTTGGGAAATAACCAATAAGGAAATTACCTTGTCACATATTTTATTCTTCAAGGATTCAAGAAATCAGGAAGCAGCTGAAGTTAATAATTCTTGTGTCCATGCTTTAAGAATAGCCAAATAAAAGCAGAAGGATTCAAAATGGGACAGATGGGTCAATCACCACAGGACAAGGACTCCTGTTCAGGGATAAGCTTAATTTAAAGTGTAGCTGAAAATAAATGTAACTGGTGTGAACAACAGAGAGAAGTAACTCCAGCTTTCACTCTACAAGAAAAGGTTAATGACATCTAAAAATGGCCTCAAATGACATACCTAGACATTATGAAAAAAAAAGAAGGAAAAAAAGGCAATCAGAACTCTCTGCTCTCACACTTCTCAGGACTGATGATAATAATGGTTTATTAAAGGTTCAGTTGTATTTTCAAGGTGCTATTGTGTTTTGGGGGCTTTTCAGAGCCAAAACTTCAGAAATAAGGGGGGAGTTGTTTGGAGTACAGGTATGATATATCCTTACAAAAGAAAGTAAAAAGAGTCATGTAACTCTCCGGCATCCAGGACAAACCCATCAATTCTCTCTGGCCTTTGGAAGCATCATGTGCTCCCCAGGCCACAGGCTTGATTACATCAGATGTTGTATTGAGAAAGAAATACTTACCTGGGAGACCATTTAGAAACCTATACTGTTGATCCCTTTAAATGGAGAAAATGTCTGTGTTTCCCACATCTTCATATACTCGTAGAATCAGGAATGTGCAATCTGCTTCAAGCAAATGTTGGTATAAACTAACACTTATCAGCCATCTCTCAGTCAGAAATAGAAAGAAAAGGCAACCTCCAGTGTTTTCTCCACTGCTTCAGTCCATTAACTTCATGGACTACCACAGTAAGCCCCAGTCAGTATCACAAGTGGCACTGTCTCTACATGGTTGTTTCAGAGGTGTCCAAACTTCTTAGTTGCACTCCAAAATTCTCATATGACTGACAGACATGAAGATACCTTGGAGAACATAAGGGGAGAACAACTCTAATCACAGTTTCACAGGAAGCAGGTGACAGATCAGGTTCCAGCAGGTCCCATGACTCCACTGTGGTGATGTGATAGGGTGGGAGTTCACACTGGTCCCATTGCAAGCTGGAGTGTCCGCTGCAACATTTTCTGCAGGCTCACTTCCTCGCATCTATGGGAATTCAGAAAATTTGGCAGCCCTCTAGCCCAGCACAGTCTCTGCTGCTGGCTCATCATGTTATGTATTCCCAATGAGGCAACAGCACCTGAGCTGCTCAACAGCTGCATGATGAATTTTAAAGCAATCCAATTTACTAAGACAGGATTTGAATAAAAACCTACTTGAATAACTTGCTGTCTGTTTTATCATCTACCAACACCAGAACCAAAAACATTCCAGACTTGAATGCTTTCATCTCAAGGACAGAGCATTTATTTTCATTTTGCAGGCAAGGAGTTGGGGCAGCCTTAGACTAAATGTTTTGCTCAAGGTCACCAAGGATGTCTGCGGATATATTTTTATTAATTCAGTCAATGAACCCTTGGTCTCCTGATTCACAAGATTATTTGTCAGTTGCAACTGAAATACATGGAGTTAGATTTCTTTACTCTGTGCATCAGAAAATTGCAAGTCCTGTTTATTTTAAGTATCAAATATTTAATCTGACATTTGATCAGAGGTTAAGTAGGAAGTCAACAGCAATAACAAAATTGCAGAAAAATTTACCTCCTAAAAGTGTTTTGTCCTTTTCATAAAAAATGGAGCTGGACCATTTTGTCTTCTTCAGGTGTATTTGTTGTCTCAAAAAAGATACAAAGGGCCAGATTCTGAAATTCACACTTAAAATTAGTAATGTCTAAGTAGTAAACATTACTAGTAGGAGCTCTCAAAGAACTACACAAAAAAACTTAAGATGTGCAGAGGCAACTTCTATACTCTAGGCAATTATTTCATTATCCTTTTCTACCTACAGATACAGCTATAAAGGTACAGGCAGCCAAAGACAAAGCAAGACAGGCCAATGATACTGCAAATGATGTCCTGGGCCAGATTAAAGACCTCAACCAGAATCTCCTGGGCTTGAGAAACAACTACAGTAAACTTGCAGGAGATGTGGCAAAAACAAACGCTGTTGTGAAGGATCCTGTCCAGAACAGTAAGATCTTTTTTGGGTTTTTGGTGTTGGGTTTTTTCTGTTTGTGGCTTTAAATTCACATCTCAAAATGAAACAGACATTCCAGATATTCACTCACATAATGTGACTACAGTATGCTGGGATAAAATACTTCTAAAAGTATTTAGGAGGTGAGTAATCAAAGATGACTGGATTTCACCCTTTGATTCAAGCAAAATTCCCCACACTAACCCTATCTTCAGTTAGTCAGATTCTCTATTGCTTCTACTTTCTGGGCTTTTTATATATAAAGAATTTAAATCTTAAGGCCTGCTGCTAACAGTTGGGGGAAAAAAAAGCTAATGTCAGCAGAATGAATGTGCAGTGGATAGATTTGTTCCTCAGACTGCTTTTAAAAGTATTTAGTAGATGAATAATCAAAGATTGTGACTGGCATTTCACCCCTTGATTCAAGCAAAATTCCCCACACTAACCACCCTATCTTCAATCAGTCAAATAATCAGTTCTGGGAGAAATGCATGACTTCTTTCATATACATTACTATTTTTGATAGAACACTGAAGACTCCTAAGAGGAAAAAGGAGATTCTGGGAGTGGGTTTTTTTGCTTGCTTTTTATTATTATTTCAGACAGTGAATTCTGTTATAAAGTGTGGCAAGTGCTTTAGCATTTTCACTTTGGTTCTGATGGATAAAATTGAATTCCAAATTACAACACATTTTATGGCGCTGACCACCAAACCAGAGTGTCTTCACAAAATTACTGGAGGACTAATTTGTCACCTTACCTGGGGTCCCCAGATTGTCATCAGCTAGATGAAGCTGGGCACATAAAAACATCCAGTTTTGTAGTTTGTCATTCTAATTTTATGGACAAATCTTCCCCTCAAATTGTAGCTATACCAGTGAAAGAAGTTAAACCTCAAAAGGCTGTTTGTCACTGCCTGCTTATTGCAAATTCCTGATCCCTCAGCAACTGAGTATATGTGTGAGCTCCAGGTGCAGCCCCCATCAGGGAGACGTATCCATTCTGGTTTAGACAAATTGAAAAGTAGTTATTGATTGAAATAGTGTGATTAGATTACAGCGGGTTATGGAACAAGCAGATCTGTGAGGTAATGAATGACCTCTGGCAGAGTAGTGATGAATGCCTGAGAAGTGGCCTAAAAGCATTAATTTCTTGGCACTGCTGGATCTAGACTAGGCCATCTGTACCAGTCCAAATATTCTAAGGCTATATGTACTTAACATTTTAGTTGAGGTTATGAGCAATAATTTAGAAGTTAGTATCTTCATTGTCCACAGTCACCATTATTTGGTTCATAATTAAGAGTGGTCTTCACACTTGCAAACTCTTTCATGTCAGATAGAGCTTAACCAAAAGATGTTCTTTGAAACTGCATTTTTACCACTCTCCAGCTGCTAATGGATAGTTAGATTACAGAATGCAGAGTAAAACATTCTAAATGTATATAGTGAGTATGTTAACACTCACAAGTACATGTTAAAGTATGGTCTTGTATGTAAAAATTCAGACTCTGAATTCTCATTATACAGATATGCAATGTATAAAAGGTAATAAGTTTTTTCTGAACAAATCCTGTCCCTTAATTTACTTTACACGTGTGTTTAGATCTTTAAAATATTTTTCTTATGTCATCTTCTGTTTTTTCTCTTTTCTTTGTCTCTGTATCTTGCCTACAGAAATCAGTACGTATGTTTTCCTTCTTCCTGCTTTTATTGTGCCTTCTCCAGTAAATAATATTCACTGCTAACCACTAGAGCTTCTGCATGGTGCTCTACATTTCACATCCATTGAATAGTTAAATAGTTACTTTTTAAAAACTCTGAGAGAAAGTGTCTTGGTAACTAGTTTCACTTATGTTAAACCTTAAGAATCATCTTGAAGGTTTGATATGAATGCCTGGAAGGCTTTTCAAAAACTATATATCCAGACTTTCATGCTTTCTATTATTATTATTATTACTATTACTACTACGACGACGACTACTACTACTACTTGTTATTATTATAATCATCATCATCATCATTCAGTGTACATTATTCTAGTAAATGCAGGTTTGTCCCTCTCAGTGTCATCCACACAACCCCATAGCTTCATGCTAGCCAAGTGTTGCAATCCTTGGATCTACTGATTAGTCTGAGGGCCTTGTTCACTGGTTGTATAGTGAAAGGAAAAAAAGTAATTTGAAGCTTAAAGCAAAAATATTATTGTGAAATTATTAAACTCACTTGAAAAAAAGAAAATATTTGCAGTGTACTCTGTTTTTTAATCTGCTTTCAGTACACATACAGAATTCTAAACTTGTGACCAGAACAAAGCCTTTTTCTAGTTTTGGCTGTTGTAATGCATTCAAGAATTAACTTCAAGTTAATTGTTTCAGACATTACTAATGGAAGCTAACCAGTTTTCATGAATCTAGCATTTTTCTTCAAAACTGGAATTAAAAATAAAATAGAAAGGAAATACTTCATCTATAAATGTATTTTGTTGCAGGGAATATTTTCCGTTAGTGTCATCCTCACCTGAAACATACTTAATGCTTTAAAATACTTCTTTAACTCCTGTTTGCTACTATTACTACTTTAACATTATTCTAAGTATTCTTAAATTATTTTATTCTGTTCATGTAGCTTCCTAGTCTGTGTGTACCTCATAGTAGCACAGTCACCTGAGTATTGAGTATGTAGAATTGTCTTTGATTTTATTATTGGAATGTATAATTAATCAGCGATACTATATTCTAAAATTCTGCCTTGTTCTTTCTTGTGAAGTTGCTGATGCAGATTCTAGTATTAAAACCCTAGAAAAGGAAGCAGATCGCTTGCTAGATAAAATCAAGCCAATCAAAGAACTTCAGGATAACATAGGGAAAAACATCTCCCAGATAAAAGAGCTGATAAACCAAGCTCGGAAGCAAGCCAATTCGGTAAGCTCTTTTTCTCAGTAAGTTGACCTTTTAGAGTATTGCTGGGATTTTATTTTCTGCTTTCCTGCCTTTTTTCCACAGAGTGAATCCTTTCTAATTCTAAACATGTGACAAGAGACCAAATAACGGAGTATAATTTCTCAGATAAACAGACAATGTTCTCATGATTTTTCACTCCGGTTCATGTTTCTTCATTTACAACATGGCCTTGTTAAATGGATAATATCTGTAAGAATGTATATGGAAAGCTTATTGTTTAAGAAGCACTGTGGGTGCACAGGAAGAGTCACACCATTGCTGATTTTTTGTGAGAAGGAAAAGGTGTTTTTTGCCTCAGCACTGACACTAAGTCTCTGCTTCTATTCCCTGGGAATAACACCAGCTCCAGCTCACTGAAATTGCTGAATATATATTTGTTTTTCCTATTTGGAGTTTGGAGTCTATCTCCCTGACTCAGTAATATTATATGCTTGTGGATCAACTGGTTAATACTAAGGTTATTCAGCTTGTGACCTAATGAAGATGATACTTCTGAGAGCTTCCTGAAAAATAGTTAAAAAAATAAAAATCTACAGAATACTAGGATCTAGGGAGGAAGTGTATTCCACATACTTGATTAAATTTGCCGGTGATAGAACGACAGGCTACAATGATGATGTGACATTCATCTTCTGTCTACAGGCTTTGAAGTATGTAACTGCTCAGCATTTCTAAAATATGGAAATTTTAAGTTGGGTCACATGATGGATCTTCTTTTTGACAAAGTCTGCTCTAAGCATAAGTTGATACCATTATGTATCTTTAACACATAAATACGTCTAGCTGGAATTGAAATACCATTGTACTGTCATTATGTCTATGCTGGCATTATGAAAGCAAGCAGTATACTGGGGTTTTTTATCTGTGCTCAGAGCCTGGGGAAACTAGCACACATATCTAAATGCATATGCCACTCAGCTGTGAAAGTGAAACTTAGTTATGAATACCAGCTCCATTAGGGGCTATGTAAAAGCAGTGATAGGCACAACTGTTGGTTTAAAAATAATTGTTAAAAGGTGTCTTAAGTTGGCATAATCAAAGGTATTACAAGGGAAAAATACATCATCCTGTCTACCTGCTAGCAATGTACTGTTATCCCTTCAGGAGTGGTGCTTATTTTCCTTGCGGCACGTTCTACTTATAGTTTATCTCTACTTCTAGAGATAGTCTATAAGGAGGCTGCTTGCATTAGACCAGTATATATTCTAGCTATTTTTAAACCATACAGTTTGTCTTTTCAAATCTGAATACCTGAAAGGACTTTTCTTTTAATAAACAATCTCAGAAAGAAAATTCCATTTCTACCTTCTATGCATATCCATGCAACTCCCTGGTTCATGTAACACAGAATTGGGAAGGAAGGAAAAATCAATGCTAGCATTCTTAGAATTATTTGGAAGTATCAAAAATTATTTCTGGAATAATAAGCAGTAAACTGAATTCTTTCTGCTATGCTCTTTTTGAAGATCAAAGTGTCTGTGTCCTCTGGAGGCAATTGTATTCGCACATACAGACCAGAAATTAAGAAGGGAACATACAACACCATCGTTGTAAATGTGAAGACTGCAGTTGCTGATAATCTGCTTTTTTACCTTGGAAGTGCCAAGTTTGTAAGTCTTTCTCCTGTATTTTTTTGGTCAGGGTCGCTCAATCAAATCAGACTATTGACAAATGCAGAAGATGAGAAAGGCACTTCAAAGCCTTCAAAGTAGCAATATAGGGCCCAAAATAATCTTTGGTATTAATATAGAGATTTCTAAACTTTGACCACAATCTTTTATTTTTTATTTCTTTTTTATTTTAGCTAGATATGAAATGGGAGACTTGTATATGGACTGCATTAAAGCTTTAAAATTCACAGTGTTACCAGGGTAACTTTGGGGTTAGTTGTGGGTTTTCCCTTAGGAATGAAGTGACGAATCGTCTTGCCTCTGTCAAAGCTCTTGTTTATTGTAATTTTAAGTCAAGACTACAATTCTAACCATAATAATTAATGATTCAGTTTCCCATGAGCTCTGTAACAGACAGACCTCTAGAATAATCAATAATTCGGCAGACAGAAGGAAGAGGCTATATAGATAGCATCAGGTATTTGCCTAGAACACTGACATCTTTCTGCCATCCAATGGATGTTTTACGAACAACATTACTCTGAGTTAAATCCTTCTCTTGATGGCTACAATATCAACATTTCTGTAAGCCATAGAATCATAGTCTATCAGCCATTTACTGCCTATCACTGACAGCAGTAATTTGCCATTGTTGGCTTAAGATTCCTTGTTTGAACCAATGAAAGGAGAAATTGCCTCAATTTAGATCACTGTGAGAATTAATGTTCATACTTTACTGTTTATATATGGTTTTCTGGTGCCTCGTTAGACCTTCTGAGATGCAAAGAGTTCTAGAAAGCTTCCTTTAATTAAAGTATGAGATAGTTTCTATTTTCATGTTTTACTTTTAGACTGACTTCTTAGCCATAGAGATGCGCAAAGGCAAAGTGAACTTCCTGTGGGATGTGGGATCTGGTGTTGGACGGGTAGAGTATCCAGATCTGACCATTGATGATGGGTTTTGGTACCGGATTGAAGCCTCTAGGCAAGTATATATTTCAGTTCCAAGATTAGGCTCCTAAAGAGAAAAAAAAGCTAAATTTAACCAGTTCTGCTTCTGATTCACTGTCCTCAAGCTGGCATAACTCAGGTGTGTTGAAGTCTTTGCTATGCTTGAAACATTGATTTAAAAAAAAAAAAAAAAAGATGATGTCATAAATACAAGAAATTTTAGTCTGGTTTAATGAAAGCTTTTGAAACTACTTCCAACAGTACCAAAAGTGTACACACCACAATTACTATTGAAATGTGAGTTGTTCTGTGTCAATAATTTATTTTCATCACACATTTGCCCTCTGGCATAAACAATCTATGATTGCTTATATTCCCTTCTGTTTGCCCATCACTCTATCAAATATCTTCTTCAACTTGCTTCATTTTAAAATCAGTTACAGGTTTTGACACTCAGTTACCTATTGTTCTTTTCTCCTTGACTTTCAGAGCAGCTTTTCGGAATTTCTGGTTTTGATACAGTAGTGCAGATGAATGGTCTGTTGTACACCAATACCTTGAGTATTACTCAAAACTTCATTTCCATAGGCAGAATGTCTCTTCAAACTGGAGATGTTTTTAAAGATATGGTGGATGAAAAGTCAAAGATAAAATATTCTGGAAAGTTAAACAATGCTTTCTAATTTGAAATCAGATGTTGAATGCTTTTGAACTTTAGAAATACAGATACCTTAATATTCAAATTTCACGGTTTTTAGTTGAAGCTTTTATTTTCTATTCAAATAGAAAACACATTATATTGTGTAGTAATTACAGCACAAGGATTACATAACTTCAAATACTTTATCTTCTACTTCTGAACAGATCTTAGTAGTTTAGATAACATCATTTATATATTTGATATGAAGCTGAGTAATTCGTCTTGCATCATTACTGAAAATTTCACATAGTATTAAACATAGGAGGAATAACATAACCAGAAAATAAGAGAAAGAAGGACACAGAAAACAAAGCACCATAATGCCAGTTACATCAATAGCTCTCAGAGGAGGAAATGGCATCCAGTTTAAATAGTTTAGTGAAATTACAGAACAGAGCAGAGAATTAAATAAAATTATGACACTGTCTTCAGAAGCTGGCTTAATGAAACCCTATTACTAGGAAAATGCAAACTGGTTTATGATACAAATTGTTGAAATTTTCACCAGTTCATGTTGGGCATACTAAAATAGCTTTGTGACACAGTAATGCCAGACTTCCATTTGTAAGAAAGCTGCTCCAGCAGAATATGGAGCCAGGATATGGTATAAAAATTCACACATCCTACAAAAGCACATTGCCTATTAAGCTGGTTGTTCTGTTTATATAGGGTGTGCGTGCCATTAGTTTTGAACAAACTGCTGGATCAGCTGTTTAGAACAATTACAGCTGCACAAATTTGAAGTACAGAGGAGTGGTTAGGAGAATTACATTGCAGAGATATTAGTTGGATTTGTGGGATTAGAATGAAGAACTTGGGACTGATTTTGCATTCTGAAGGCACACTTCATAAACCACATAGCCTACTGAACATTCTTCAACCTTGAACATATTCGTCCATTTAGTAACTCCCCTCTGACTCCATAGGCTGTTGGAGAGTTTTACTCATTTTATTCTCTCACCATTTTCCCTCCAAATTTCTTCTCAATTCCAGCCACAGACTTTTTAGCAACCTGACCGAGCTGCCTCAACAGCTAGACCAAGGCATCCACTTAGAATAGGGACTTAAGATGAAAGTCTGGCCTTGCTGATTTTGCCACTGATTAGGGTGGTGACAGGCATTGCTGCACAATAATAATTATATGGTAAGTTTAAAGGTTGAGAACAGTTCTTACTCAAGGATCCTAAAGGGCCTTGGAAAGAGAAGATGTGGTAGTATAGAGGTTGTGAAATTCTCAAGGTCACTCTGCATAGACAATGACATCTAAATATGAAAAAACTGACTATTGAGTGGTGATAAGAGATGTTCAGTTCAGTTAACATCTTTTCTAAAATTTCCAGTGTGTTATGAACAATGTGATAATGACTGCATCTGTTTTCAAGGGGTAGCTTCAATTTTCAACACCTTTTCATTTAAAGCATGCTAATACTTTGCATTTTATTGTATATGCAGATTTTATAATGGATTTGGGTTTTTTCCTGGAATTTATTTATTCCTATAGAAATTCCCTATACTTTGATGGTACAGGAATTTAACCAATGTCACAGTTACTTAATTACTTACAGAGGCAAATCTGATTGGCATCAAGAACTGCAATCAATCAAAGTATCAATTAACAAAGGAAAATCAGGCATAACAGTGTGTGACAAAATTATTTAAAGCAGGTTTGCAACATGCAAACAATGTCAATATTGTGAAACAAATGATGAGGATCACTAGATCAGTGAAACAATGTTGCTTGATTTCAGCAGATTTATCTCAGTTAGAAGCAGGACCTGATTAATTGTGATTTTAATGAAATGTGTTTTAAGTATTGCCATTGTTTTAATTGTTAATGACAGTTTAAGCAGTGCCCTTTCTTTGAGGACAAAGGACACTTGAATCCCAAGTTCACTGTAGACACATCCAGCCCAGCTCAGCAAGAATTCAGTCTTCAACTACTGTGGCAAATGTAGGCCATACTTCCCAGTGAAGATTTTCTGTGCTCTCAAAGCGTCAAGGAGCAAAGGTTTCTAGATGGCATTTTGTAATCCAGTGTTGGTGACTTGCAGACGTCATCTCATTTACATCATGCATCGCCTAGGCAGTATGTAGATGATGATCAGCCACACAATGATGGTACATCTTCTATAACCCACCAGTTTTTCTGGTGAACTGACTATCACTAGAACAATATCTCCTAAACTGATGACTTGTCATGCACAGGGTAGCAATGTCTTTCTGCTGTCGAGTTAGCCAAGTTCTACTTTCAAGCTTAATTGTCCTCCCCAAATAAAAGAGAATTATTTATGGAAGAGACTCCTTTGTTAGCATTTCAGTCTGTTTGAAGATGAAAGACATCCATGCTATTTGTGACATATAGGACACCCTAAAAAGTGTCAGTCTACTCATTGGTTTCTACATTATTGCACTTGGATGTTTTTAAACTGGAATCTTAATTTCAGCACAATATATATTGAAGGTGCCAATTACTTTCTTGCAGGGAGCATCAAACTTACACATTTAAAAAAAAAAATAAGTCTTTAGCTACTCTTGGTCTTTAAACAATCACTACCTGGAGAATGTGTATCCTTTAAAGGGCTTCATATCAATAAATCATATGTAAAAAATAATGGAAAAAACTTGAAATTTATGCTGCATAGAAAGCTATCTGCCTAGCACTCAGTTGTTTTTTGGAATAAAAAGGAAAATATTGTAATTAAAAGGAAATTTGTCAAAAAAAAAAAAAAAAGCATTTAGAATAATGTGGATGGTTTTGGCCCACTAGATTAAAATGATTGGGAGCAACTACATGTTTGCATACCCCAGATGTCACTTAGGAGATTCCCCAGGCAACTAAGAGTCTCATCCATGTGGTTTTCAGAGCTGCCAGATTAATATAATCAAAGATCTTCAATGTTTTTTTGCAAATATGCATTTTTCACATTGAAAACCTTGAAATGTCTGACTACAAAGCAGGCAAGATGGCATAGATCTACAAAGGTATTCCCCATTGTTTGGAAACTCTCAGAATTACTTTGCAATCCTGCTTCATGGTTCAAGAGAAATTTGTTGAAACTGAAATGTCTCAACTCACTGTTTTTTTAAATTTATTTTTAAACGTAAGTGGCTTTTTTCCAGTTCTATGTTATTTCATAAGAAAACTGTCAACTCATTCTGGTTTTGGGGTAACAGATTCAGAGCCAAAGGGATTTCTGAAAAGTGCTTTTTAGACATAAAATTCTAATTAGATACAAAGGAATTTTGCATCTTTGATTGCACCAAAGCTCATGACTGTAGAACTCAAAGGTTTGGTTTATGTCGTTTGTTTTACTGTCTGGCTCTGACTTGATAGCATGGGGATGTAACTTTTCATCCAGAAAAGCCACACATAGAATTTTTTTGTGAATTTTATGCTTGTTTGATAGACTCCAGCACAGAAAATGCAAACCCTGTACATCACTGTGAAGGAAATTGAAGTACTTTATCACATGATCATTCATTTCAGTTCAAATATAATCTAATAAACCTTATAAAATTCAGAGATCTAATCTGTAACCTTGCCTGTATAATTTGTTTCATTAAGAAACAATTACTTAGCGTTAATTTCATCACAATAACTTAAAAATGCAACTTCTTTGTTTTAGCCAATGAAAGTTCCACTTCATCTGTGTAGTGAATTTTGTTCAAAAAGGTCATACAGGTGAGAAAAAAACCCTGGTTCTGTGATCATGTCTTTAACTTATGAAGCATAAGTGTCTATTCATTTGTATCAAAATGGAACATCATCAAATCAGTAATACATGCCTCTATGAAAAGATACAAACTAAAATGACTTTTCCAGTGTTTGGTTTAACTACTGACTGTATACTCAAATTATTTTGTTAAAATCTCTAGGACGGGGAAAAATGGCACGATATCGGTGAGAGCTCTGGATGGTCCTAAAGCCAGCATTGTGCCAGCCACCTTCAGCGCTGTCTCTCCACCTGGATATACCATTCTGGATGTAGATGCTAATGCCATGCTCTTTGTTGGTGGTTTAACTGGAAAAATAAAGGTATTGTCTTGTCTGGTGCTAATGTATTAACTGGCTGTTTTTGTGGACAATTTTCATTATTGCTTCCAGTAGAAACACAATACGTCTGTGGTGCTGTAGTAGCTGCTTTAGTAGTAGACAGGACACCTGCACTCTCGAAAGATTTTTGGGCTTTGCTTAGCCTTGTAGGTGCCCAAACCTGAAGTTTTCCTGCCCGTGCTGTTCAACCCGGTCTAGTGAGAGGTGTCCCTGCTCATAGCAGGGAGGTTGAAATCTGATGATCTTTAACATCCCTTCCAACCTTAACCATTCTAGGATTCTGTGATTCTCCTCAGAAGCCTGGTGGCTGGCTGGATTGATTGATGCAGCCCAAGCAACTAGTTTCTGCTGGATAGCTGAATGCTTTGCCTGGGACATACTGCTGCCCCAACAGGCTTTCAGTATCATTACAATAGGAATTAATTTCTGTTTCCATACATTCCTGGTCTCCTAATGATGGATATAATAATATATATTCCTTTACATTTACAGGTTTTTTTCTTTGAAATGTACCCACAGTATCACTTCCTCCTTTTCAGTCTGCTTTCTGCTTTATTTTCTTGATTTTTATTCCTGTTTTGCTCAATACTACCTTTCTTATTAACTGCTTCCTGCATCAGATCCTTGATCTATTTTCTCTTCTTTTTGCCTGTTAATTTTTCTGGTGACTGCTTCCACATTGCTTGTCTTGCTGGTAATGAATAGAAGATTTATGCCAAAGAGAAAGGCTGGAAATCTTTCAGAAAAAAAAAAAAAGAACTCAAATAACTACTAATTAGCATATATTTTCTAATGGCATTCATTACAAAATAATTTAAATGAAATATTCTATTCCTGATCAATATTTTATTTTTTAACGGTAAAATTATTTTTAAATCCTCATTTAGCATGCAAAAAAAGCTGACATTTAAACTTCCCCAAAGAGTGAAATCAAAGACCCTTTTTTTTTTTTTTCAGTCAGGTGTGAATACGTCAATTGTTGAAATAGCACAATATTTTACATTCCAGCTTTTTGGTTTTCAGAAAGTTCAACTGTCTAGATGGTTATGGTAAGGGAATATGTGGATAGGCATACTCGATTCTTACAGAAAATAGAGTGGGTGTGCATTTCAAGAGACAACAAGAAAATCAGAGGATACAGGAGGGACAGAGAATGTAGATTCCAGTTGCTTGAAACCAGTGTCTTGAAGTCCAGCTGTAGCTTCAAAGATGTCCATGCATTTTGGAGCACAGTTGGGTAACTTCACTTTAGATCTTCAGCACACACACAAAAAAATTCTTAGTAGGCTTGAACAATGACCAACGAACTTAACTGAGAGATATCTGACTTCAGCAAGCATTCACAGGAACAGGGAAAAAAAAAATACGATGTTTTGGGCTGGGAAATTGCAAGTCAGTACATATTAGTAGAACTCAGATCTACTCTCTCTGTTTTATGCAGAATGGATCCACAAAAGCATCAACATTTTCTACACCTAAAGATGCAGATGCAATGAATCTTGATGTTTGCAAGGGTGAAAATAACTTCCATTAATTTTCTTTTGTGTAATTTGATTTCATATGGGAAACAGACAAGAAAGTAAATTGAAAAATTTATTGGAAAATTACACATTAGGAAAAACAGCCTTCCTGTCACCTTCTTCTGTGTTCTTAAAGCCTGTTTAAGGCTTTAAGGTTCTGGTTTGCACTCTACCTTTCAGCTTTCTATCTAGAGGCAACTACGGGTGTTTGTTTCCTTCTGTTAGCCCTAAACAAGAACTCTCAAAAACATACTTCTAAAATGGATTAACAGTTGCTAAAAGTGTCTCTGGACTGCAGAGATTAGTGCCCTTTGAAAACCAGAATGGCTTCACTGGGCTTTCTGTACTCTGTCCCTTTGATCTGCTTTTCCAAGGGGAATGGAAACAAAGCAGAGAGAGGCGCTTTATCTCCCACACCTACTTTGTTTCTCAGCTTTCTTTCATTCTTGGATTTTTGCTTTTTTGTGCTTTTTGTGTCTTGATCCTCCAAAGGAGTCATGACATTTCAACCTCAAGTGCCAGCCTAAAACCAAACCTTACTTTAGTTTTATTTTATATTTCACTTTTGAATTATTAGAAGTAAAGTGAACCAAGCACTGAAACATAGTAATACCACTTACATGTTCACAGCTCTAGAACATTAAATCTCCTAGACCAGAGCTTTCACCTGATTTCTACTTGGGGAAAATAAAATAAAATTTTAAAAAATCTTGTGTTTCCATTAGGAATCCAGAGAATCAAAAATTATGCAGAAATTCAGCTACAGCTAATCTCTGCCACAATGTGAAGTAGTCTTGTGCCTAATCATAAGTTCTGCAGCAAAGCTGTCACATTAGACTAAGAAAATTTGTGGTTTACTCGATGTCATCTCTAGGTTTAAGTGTTATAAATATCCTGCTAAATAAAAAGCTTTTAGTATTATGGTTTGATGGTAGAATAAGTGAGGTGAAGCAAAGGTCCAAAGAGAGGTATGAACTATTTGAGTAACCAGGCCCCAAAGCTGCTACCTACCACTCCAATAAAAGATGTCACCACCTCCTAACAAAGGTCATTTCACTTAAATTGCACTGTCAGAGAAAAAAAAAAGTTTTAATTTTAAAATCTTTAGTGTTATATCTACTGCTTTTACTTCATGTTTAGTAGTAGTATTTATTTGGGGTATTTATTTTATATTTAAATGCAAACAGTATTTGCATAATACTTAGTCAAGAAGAATTAACGAACAATGAAGCTGAATGAAGTGTGTACATAGGAAAAAGATAAAGATTTATCAAAATCTCTAAAGGGAGAAGACTTCATGGGCTCTTAATATTTCCTGAATGTTTTTCTTTTTTCCTTTACTCAGCTACAATGAGGCAGAGGTGGGTAGTGAGGACAATTCAGCACATAAGAGAGTTCTAGGATCAAGTATGAGGAGCAATACTGAACAAAAAAAAACAGTTATGGATGTTGCAAAAGTCTGATGCCAGAACAGGTGTTTTCAACCTTAATAAGGGTTCTCCAAATATTTTCTGGAGAATTCTTCATTTGTTTCCTCTTGGTCAGGAAAACCATCCTGAATTATTTTCTTTCTCCAGGTACATAAAGACAAGGGCAGAGGTAGAAAAATTATGTATTATAAATTTGCTAGGGCTTGTATATTTGCCATTCAGGTTTTTAATCAGACTTGCTCTGTTCAGACACAGTCTGTGAGTTAAAAGTTAAATTATAACCTTACTTTTCTGGAATTTTGGTCATGATGTAGTACAGCTGTCAGGCTCACAAAATTGAGACCTTAACTGAGACTCTTTTCTAACACCATGAAGCCCTTTGGACATTTGTCAATGTCACTGATATTTTTTAAATCTCTCTCAGAAATCAGCTTTTTCATATAATTGGCTACTGGAGAGCTTTAGTTTTCCCTGGGATTTTGTCCAAATCCCTTTCAGCATGCATCTTTGCAGTGTATTCAAAAAGAAGGCTCATTTTCAGTTTTTATAAAACATCTTTCATCTGACTTGACTATACAACTATGATAGACATCTTGAATTTCTCAGAAGTGACATTAAGTTCATACTTTTTGCTAATTAAAACCTTTCCAATTACCCTGGGAAATATCACCAGCACATTAAGTCTTTTGAGTCATACTTTTCCTTCAATATTTTCAAGTTGCACTTCTCCATACTCACTTGCAAGATCTTAATATTCGTAATTGCTGTATGGAAAACAGCAGGTGTTTGTCTATCTCAAATAGCTAAGTATATAGGTTTTTCAATCAGCTCATATTGATGAAGTGAAATTTAAATGAAACTAGGTATTTTTAGAAGGATAATTTTGAGCTGAGTACTTTGTGTACCATCAAATATTACTATCTGAACATCATACTATGTTATGATCTAATGAGCTTTACCCCATGTGTGTGACCCTTGCTTAATGAGTTTTGATGGGATATGAGTTTTAATTGCTTTGCCATCTGCATTTCTTTCTGCATGAACTTTACAGGTATAACCAGTTGAGTTCTCAGTTGGTCTTTTAGCTTGGATTATCTCATCAACTTCCAGGATTTTTAGCATTAAGGACAGCACAAATAGTTTGCTTATTCTGTAGTGAGTGAGATTCCTCATAGTCCTTTCTGTGAAGACTTAGACAAAAACCCAGACAGAGGTTGAACAAGTGAGAGTGGGAGGTCTCTGAATAGCCAAGAAAGATGATGGTGATGTGGAAGCTGAGACAGCTCCTTGCTCTCCAGGAATCATTCTGCCTAGGCCTTTGCTGGAGTCTCACATATAAATGGACTTTTTCATGCTGACTGATACAAGGTTTAGCTTACGGTTTTGCTGATCATTTGTTCTATAAGACGGCTTGTCAGACTAAATGTTACTCTTTATATATAAAATAATAAGAATCATTTTCTGGTATTTGTGATTTTCATACCAGTTATGCTTTCAGACACAGTAGATCACTTCAAGTTGAATTCTAATGAGTTTTGCATTTTCTTTTGCAGAAGTCAGATGCTGTAAGAGTCACCACCTTCACTGGCTGCATGGGTGAAACCTTTCTAGACAGCAAGCCCATAGGACTGTGGAACTTCAGGGATATTGAAGGTGACTGCAAAGGATGTGCTGTCAGGTATGTAAAGCACTGTTTCTCATGCTCCTTTGGGAATCTGTCTGTGGTGACACTGTGGTTTGTTATAAGCAGCAGGAATTTCCACTGGAACTATCAAGTTCCAGCAGACAGAGGTAGTCTGTATACAATGCTGAGAATTGTAGGAGATAAGAAGTTAGGTTGCAAAAGGGGAAGCACCCTATCTGAGTATTAAATGTGGTCGATGTCTTAAAAGAATTAGGACTGTGTAACAGGGCTGTGATGCAAAAAACCCTGCTAACCAGTATCCAGGTTGAGTCCAAACATGAGAGGGTGAGATTCATAGTGGGACCAAGCCTGGCTCATGGCCATCAGTAGTGTGGGTACCTGCAGCTCTCAGGAAGCATGGGGAAGAGTGAGGTGCCTCAGGGGGGCTTTCACAGCCACCAGTGTAGTGAGCAGAGACCACCACAAGACAAAGTTGTTTTCTTCCTCAAAAGAGAGTGGGAAATCCCTTCCCTGCCAGTGACCTGAGGTTCCAGATAAGGTAAATGGCCCATTCACACAGAACCAGGATTCACATATATAGGCTTAGAACTCTCTTCAGGAATTTTAAGAAAACATGTTACTTCCTTTCTGAATGTGTCCTTGTCCTTAGAGAGCTGTCACCCATCTTCATTTGTCTTTCCCACTAAACTAATTTCGAGCACTTTCCTGTGCTATATCACAGCTTTAGAAACTGAGGGCCCTTATATAGAGGCACCACCTGATCCTACAGCACAGTCCTGGGAATGATCATGTAAAGAAGACAGACTCCAGGTCTCGCATAACCTTGTTTATAGTTTCTGACTTTCATGGTGACCCACTGCATGAAAGGAGCATTGTCCTCTTAGATGCTCCTGGATTTTTAGGGAGTTCAGCAGTGTCAGTATATGGTATAGAGTTCGTGATGCGTTAGGTAAAATAATTGTCTACGCAGTCAGGGTAGTTAAGAGTGGGCTAGGCTTAGCCTTTTGAAAGTGATGGAAATTCAGTTGTGAACAGAAACAATATTGGAAATACTTGAGGATTTCCTTGACTACAAATGCGGGCCCTTGACACTTATGAGGAAATTTAAGGAGCATGATGATGGATATACCTGTTTCAGTTCCAAGCAAGTCCTAGTGGAAATGTCTAAACCTTTATGTGTATCCCTACATAAATTTAATTTTTTCATTCATTAGTGATAGATCTGCTTGCTTGGAGCACCAGTGAGTGGGAAGAAGACTAAAAAAGTACAGGACTTGAGATTTGTAGAAAACTGTATTGAAAGCTCCCTTTTATCTTAATCCACTGTTCCAGTACCAGGAAGAGTGCTGTTCTGCAAAATCTATTTGCAGAAACTTAACTGTTAGTTATGGCTAGAGAGGGTAAAAGGACTACATTCAAGATCCTTCTATATGTGTCAGGATAGACGGGAAATGTTCCTACCCATTATTTCACATATTGTTCAAATGTAATTATGTTTCTGATTAAACCAAAAGATTGCTGCCTTGCAGCTATATGATCTGTGTGAAGGAAGTGGACAAGAGTCTATCATACAAATTGTATCAAACAATCTCAAAGCCTGATCTTTTCTATTCTGTAATGACAGGAGTTCCAAAACTGTGGAGGGACTGATGCTTCTGCCCTTGTGGTGTTTGTAATTTGTGGGTAAACAGGCAAAATCAATTTCCTAGGTTTGTAGTCTGGGACTCTCCAGAGGGTAAAATCACTTACAATAAAAATTCTAAGATTTATTACAAGATGAAAGAATATATAATGCTATTTTCCTTGAGGATTGCAAAATGAGTCATTACAGACTACATGCAACATGTTCCACTTGCATCTTCCTCCCAGAATTGTTTTTGTGTTGGACAGCCAGTGTGCTGACCTTACAGCTTCACTTGTCAGAACAGGGGTTTGATATAAAATCAAACCAAGGTCAGAAAAACTTTCAAGAGCTCCCCTTTCCTCCCACTTCTTTTTTAACCCCACATGGCAAAGAAAACTGGTTGGAATTCCTGCTTTTCAGCCCACAGGTGGCAGACGGTGAAGGGACAGTCCAGTTTGATGGTGAGAGCTACGCCATGGTGAGCCGCCCAATCCGTTGGAATCCCAATATTTCCACAGTCATGTTCAAATTCAGGACCTTCTCATCAAATGCCCTGATGATGTATCTTGCCACTGATGACTTGGTGAGAAAAGCCAGCTAAGCTCCACGCTCTGTTTTCATGCCATTTTTACAGTAGCTGAACTCATCATATGGAAAAAAAATAATAATTTAATGCAGCAGTGTCCTGGTTTGATGCTGCTTGGTGTGATGCTTCACTGCTTTCCAAGTGAAGAAAATGTTGTAGAGTGGAAGTTGACTACCTAGTGTTTTTACTGACTGGAGACCATTGTCAGACTGAGATGAATTCCAGCTTTTCTGAAATTATTAATTAATTTTAATTTCTTGCAAATGTTTACCCATGCAGCATTGCCAGTTGTGGTTGTACATTCATAGTTAAAAACATTGTAGTGGGAGAGAAAGGAAAATATGGGAAGACACTAGTCTTAGAAAGAAGTTCTACTGACATACAGAAACGATTTGTGTTTAATGCAGATTGACATTAAAGGGGAACTAAAGGATGCAACAAAAAGGGTGTGATGGTGATGACGTTTTCACAAGGTCAACAAATGGTGCCTTTACAGCTAAAATGAAGAATGGAAGCATTAGTTATAAAGCTGTTCCAGGTTTTTATTTACACCATTATCAAATGTATGTGGATAACAAGGAGATATCTAGCCGGATCCTCACATGAATCAGGAATAACTTAGCTTCAGCCTCTCTGACACAGATTGATGTGCATGCCTACCTGGGAACAGAGTCCCTTCCTTAGCCTTTCCATGTGAGACAGGAAATATGTCCAGCAGTTCTCACTAACATCTTGAAGAATTACTGAGCACCCATCATTTTACAAAAACTGTTTGTGTAAATCGGTGTTATTTCAGTTTCCTGTATTTTGGGAAAAAAATTTATCAGAATTCCTGGAACTATCAAGGAGGAGAGTGCTTCTCCTGACTGACTACAGTGAAAGATAACATTTTATTATGATAGCTACTTTAATAGTTTTTCCAATTAATTTTCCTAATTGAATATTGAAGGCATAATCAATGTAATTATTTCTGATTATTTTGTATAATCATTATTAATTTATCTAGTTTTGTAGAAAAATGATTTACTTGAACTTCTGAAAAGCACTGGTAGTTGGAAGAAATTGGTCCCTCATGCAATTTGTTTCTTAAGATATTGTCCCACTGACAAAAACTTTGAGGATGCCCTTTCTACTGATGGATGTGCATAGGCATCTAGAATGCTGCATTTGTTAAATTTTACTCTTCTTAATATAAACTTATATTTATACACATAACATTATTATCACAGTTTAGCATAAGTATTCAGCACACAATAAAGCATTTTCATTCCCCCTAGATCTGAGAACAGATGGAACTGACCATGAGAAAAATGATCACTAAAATTAAATTTTCTCTGGTAGATTCATGTACAGGATCGTAGTTCCATCTATGCTCGCATAATGTCTTTCATGCCGTCCAGTTTCCTGGCTAGTTGGGGGATCTAATTAATGTGTATAAGTGTATGAGGACTGGGCATCAAGATGGAAGGGACAGGCTTTTTTTGACTTGTGCCCTGTCATAGGATGAGGGGCAATGGATTCAAACTTGAGCACAGGAAGTTCCACCTCAACATGAGGAAGAACTTCTTTCCTGTAAGGGTTACAGAGCATTGGAACAGGCTCCCCAGAGAGGTTGTGGAGTTTCCTTCTCTGGAGACTTTCAAGACCCATCTGGATGCATTTCTGAGTGACCTGCCCTAGATTTGGTCCTGCAATGGCAGGGATGTTGGACTCAATGATCTCCTGACATCTCTTCTAACCCCTAACATTCTGTGATTCTGCCAGCTCTTTCTCTGTCAATGCTGTGATGTATACTATTGCTCCAGGCAAACATCTCCGGTTACTGCCTAGATATTGGTGTTAGTGGTTGATGAACAAAATAGTTCATAGCTCTCTGCTGCTCCGTCAGTAAAGGCTACTGATAAAGTAAGACAGTTTTACCATCTTTACTGTTCTTTTTCTACTTTGGGCTTTTAAATCTAGCTGAGATATGTAGAAAATACACTGCAGTATGGACATATATTCAAATCTGAGGATTAGTTTCAAGTAACTAGAGTGTATATTTCTGTCTTCAGTCAAAAAAAAAAAAAAAAAAAGTATAGACATCCCAGCAAAACTCAAGCTATGTTGTTAGTGAAATTCCAACAAAGTTAGCAATACAAAGAGAAAAAAAAAGGGAAAGAGAACTGGACAACAGCCATTCATACATTACAGTCCTGGGCAGTAAACACTGAAGCAGGTGATTTTAAAAGCTTGAAAAAAGTTGTCCGTTGTCAGTTAAAAAAAGTGTTTCTTTATGACAATATGCCTCTTACCAAAATGAACAAGAGTCATAATTTGTGTATCTAATCCTTTTCATTAACAGAAGGATTTCATGAGTGTAGAACTCAGTGGTGGGCGTATCAAAGTCAGCTACGATCTGGGTTCAGGTACAGCTTCTGTTGCCAGCAACCAAAATCATAATGATGGCAAATGGAAAGCTTTTACCCTGTCAAGAATTCAAAAACAAGGTGAGTTCCTGTGGTTTTAACACTGTGACATTCCCAGTTACCTATGCAGTATGGCTAACCATCTAATCATGGGGATGATGATGTGCAAAATTGCTGGAATTATAAAGTTCTACTGATTTAGCAAATTCTTTTACTTAGATTACAGGTGTGCTGAGTTGTGTGTGAGTGATTGCACTGTCAAACAGACCTTTCATGAAAGGTAGTTTAATTTTCAGTCATAATTCTGCATTAGAGTTGCATAAATTACATTCTGAAATGCTTCTGCATGAGGGGAAAAAAAAGTTTTTTCATCAGTTTCCCGATGTTGTTCAAAATCATTAAATAAATCTGTGTGGCTTTTGTTAGAACAGCAGTTGCTGTCATGCTGTACATGTTCAGCATATCCCAAAGCATTTAAAAAAGCAATGACCTTATTGCCCCTGAAGGCATTCTTCCTTCTCTGCCCTCCACAGTGTGAGCTCTCTACCTGACTTTGGCATCTCATGGCTCACTTTCATGTCATTTAGCTGAAGTAGACCTGGGAGCTGGGACACTGGCCAAAATAACTCAGAGCTTTCCATTACAGATTTGCTGCACCTTTAGAGGAGGAATACCTTGTTGCTAGCCAGTTAGTTTAGTTCATGTTTAACTCAGGAATTGTTAAGATAAAATACAATGTCACATAATTGTAGTGTATTCATACCATTAAAATGTATCATGCATTTATAAAGAAGATAGAAGTATAGATATGAAAGGAAATTTACTCTATTTACAGTAAGTTACAGCAGGAAAGTCTATCCCTCATTCACTTCTCTTTCACTCCTGAAAGCAGTACTTTGTTTCCAGGTTTTGCACATGCCTTCTCTCTTTTAAGGCACACATATATATATATATATTATATAAGTCATCTGCTGCTACAAGAGACTCATCTGTGGGGAGAGCTTCTATCAGAGAACACTATTCCTCATGTCTTCCCATTGCTCCTTCTTCTTCATGGGTTATACATGACGTCTTCCAGCAAGTCTTCCCTTTGAAATCTCCTAGGAGGTTGACAGGTCCTTCACCTCCAAACCAAATCTATTCCATCTCTAACCAGAAGTCAGGCTGGACAGTTTTTTAATTAAAATAAAGGTTCATTTCATTTGTTAGGTATGTAAGTGGGGAGGATGTGGGTGTGTGTACAGATTATAAACAATCTCTTGCATTTAGCTGTCTCAAGAAAAAAAAAAAAAAAAAATAAAAAAAATTTAAGAAGAAGCCTTTCTTTTCATCCCTATGGTATAATACTCCCTTCTTCCACAGAGGCTGCTCAGCACACCTCAGCATGTCATGTCTCCCTCATTGAACCTTGTATTCTATATCCATTAAAAATATACATGGAGCAAGCATTTAAATAGGATGGTTGCATATAGTGCATCACTGAGTCCAGACTGAGACTAGATATGACAGCAACTGACTTTTGGGCTGAAAATGGTTTAGAGTGACTGATCATCAATCTCTAAGGAATGTAATAACAATTTTAAACAAATTTTTACACTAAAAAATCCTGTTAAAGTGACAACCTTTGGACTGAAATCACAAATTAGATGCAAAATGATCTCTTCTGTCTTCAATTTGTCCTGAAGTGTTAGCTCCAAATTGCACTGACACAAAAAAGCATACCAGATTGAAACAGGTTTAGAAAAACAAAGCATACAGAATTGCTTTAGCTTTTCAGGTTGTTATGGAAACAGAGGAAAATACAAGTCCTATCCCCTGCCCATAATGACAATTTGGACATGCAGTGTCTTAGCTACACAATGCAGCCCCACCTTGCCTCTCCCCTTGCCTGCTTACCCTCCATGTGTTTATCTGTTGGTTTCTTACATGAAGCACCATTGTGTCTGATATTTTGAAACAAATCTCAAATCTCTTCCAGCCAACATATCAATTGTGGATATAGACACCAATGAAGAAGAGACCATAGCAACAACTTCTACAGGCAGCCACTTTGGGCTCAACTTAAAAGGGCATGAGAAAATATATTTTGGGGGACTGCCAACCCTGAGAAATCTAAGGTAACATGACTAAAACCTGTTTCTTTACCTTTGGTAAGGGAATGTAAATGCAGTGTAAGACAGTTCTCTGTATCTCTTTCTGAAGTTTACTTGCAGTAAGTGAATGGCAAGTCCCCAACATACCCTATATTGCCACAGCAGATCAGCACCTTACTTGCATACACTGTGTATTTCAGTGTATTTCACACAGCTCACATCACACATACATTGGAAATAGCAGTACCAATGCAGTACAGCTTCTCGACGCTGTGCAAGAACCCTGATGTAGATTGCTTTTAAGTATTTTTTATTGGATGAAATTGAATTTATTACTTCAGACTTAACGAACTGGCTCCATACCTCCACAAAATTAAGGACAAGTGTCTACTTGTGCCTGATTAGAAAAACTGGACTACAAACTACTCCTCATGGGATTACTTGTTAAATGGGTATAAAAATACTGTGCCTAGATATAATTTAAAATTTTTTGTTTTCTGGAGTTCTTCGGTTAAAGTCCTACTGTATTCAGGAATTAAAGCATATGATACAATACTTTTGATATTTTTAATGTAAAGAGAATGAAATATGGCAACATTTTCACTTGAGAAGCCTGACCCTGAATAAAATTCCAGTATTTATTTTTAAAATATTGCATGAAGTTATTTATTGGTGAGCTTTAGGTTAAGCTTTAATAAACTAAATAAATGGGATAACAGATACTTGAAGTTACTGAATGTATTACATGGCTTTAAATAGACCAAAAAACTGATGTAAGGTTTAAATGAATATTCAGCAGTTTTGCAATGACAAGAAGGAGAGAATTCTGTGCTACAATGAACAGATGAGCAACACAGACACAAGGCCATTAATTTATGTCAGCTTTAGCTACATGGCATAATAACAGCCTTGAAGTGGTCTTGTGCACAAGGAACTGTTGTGAGTCCACAGACTGTTCCGCAACTGAAAGAATGGATGCTTTTGTTAATTTATTAAGTTAAGAACTGACTTCTGATGTCAGATCACCCAGCAGTAAAAAGATATAACCTCTGTTTTACTCATTAACTTTTACTCATTTACTCATATAACCCTACATTATGTAATTGTGAAATCACAACAGTGCATAACAAAATGTCTAGAGCAATTATCTTCTGGCAAATCCTTTGAGGTTGCTTAAGAAAAGCAGGGTGCCACAGCTACTTGGACCTGTGGTAACCATTTTGCCTACAGCTATGATTTATCAGTCACTTGGGCAAGACGAATGTTATGGTAAATTACAATCAAGAACAGTGAAAAGGGGATTAGGGCAAAGCTGAGCTACTGCAAACAATAGATGCTGGAGTACCCATGACTTTGTAATTATCAGGTCATGTTAGTTCTGCCAAATTCTTTTACATGGTTTGCATTTACACACGACCAAGTAGAGCAACAGATTATAAAAGCTCTCTTAATATATTATATTTTAAGTTAGCTGTTTGCAGGGTAACCATGTTAATTATTACAGCCTGATAGTGTATATAGAAACTCACCATCCATTATGTGTTGTTTGTAAATTATGTATATTTGCTTCACTGTGAAATATTTTGAACCTTGCTAATAAGTGTCATTCGCTACAATTAATGTAACTTTCTTTTTGGTTTGTTGTTTTTGTTTTTTTTTTTGTCTTTCTCTCTCACCGTAGTATGAAAGCAAGGTAAAAATAATCAGATTACTTGCATGACTTGCATGTGTCTAGTAAGTGCAGCTTGAAAGCCCAGGCAGCCAAGCAGAAGCAGCGTGTGGGCAGTATTTACACCAGCTGTTATGCTAAGGCTGTTAATTCAGCGAGTTGCTCCTGCTGCAACAAGCAAAGCTGCTCCCAAGTGCTTAACACTGTCGTGTCACATGCTGTGCACACACAAACAACTTCTATTTTCCTCACGCAGCTGCTTGCTTCAGCTGTTTGTTTATGACACTGGAATGCCTCGGAGGCAGTGCTATGGTGAGTCCTGTTGCAGAGCTTGGTTCTGACCTAAGGCTGGAGAGAGCAACATAGTCCTGGGTCACACAAGGACCAGGCAAGTGGTTACCTAGGAGGTGCAGAATTTTGTCACATTTGCCATGTCTGAGTTTAAGAACAATGGAGAGGTCACCTATTTCTGACTGTTTGCAACTATCTGCATCCATTACTTTTGCTTTGATTAGGTTCAGATATTAATTGGACTTCCCTATGTTTTGCAGCTTAATTCCTGGCTTGAATGATAGAAATACAACTTCCTCTCCCAATCCTGAAAAAGATTATTTCCTCCCAAGCCCCAGATACCTGTCATTGTGTTCCCTTGAAACTGATCCTAGCTTAGCAAAAAAAACACAAACCATGCCAAGAATTTATGCAAGATCTGAATGAACTTGGACCTTCTTTTGTATGTTTTGGAAGGGAGCAAGGGAAAAGCAAGTCAAAGGAAAACAGCAAGCATGTGTCTAATGTTTGCAAGGATGTAGAGGTCATATGGTTTGCGAGTTGGAAGATAACAGCGACTTTTTGTAATGGGACAACATGAGGATGTCTGTGACTGGACAGGGCAGGAAGGGGATAGGAACATGGATGGTTTCTGGATGGCAAAGACAGGGTACTATGGGCATTTCTGAGATTGACATGGCAAAAGTGTTCTGCTGCTGGGAAGACGAGTCTGTGAAGGAACTGGGGAAGAGCTAGAAGTCAAAAATCAAAAGTGACCATTAGTGCATGACTGTAAATGAAACAGAATATGGAATATTTTAGCAAACCAGATGCTTACTTTCAGGGATGTAAATTTGCCAGCCAATACACCACTCTTGCTAGGATGACTGTAATGCAAAGAATGGCTTTCAGTATCAAAACATGCAGCTGAACAGTATCTGCGCAACATGGGTTTATTTTGTAATTTATATTCTTTAAAATATTTTCTTTCCTTCCAGGGAGCTGGAGTGTTTGGGTTTTTCCTCTCCCCACAACTTTTATTCCTTATTTATTTTCCAAATTAATTTTTCTCTCTTTGAACTGTTCATATTATTCAGATATTCTACTAAGCACTCATGGGTAACGTATGCAGATTTAACTAGTGCTTTTTTTTCTTTTTTGGATTTACTCTCCATGGTATGAATGGCAACTTTTTTTCTGAAGTGACTTTGTAAAGCTTTTCAAGCCTGTTTCCTATGCTGCCAGCAGTGGGGGTCTCACACTGGTGTTCCCAGCCCTGGCAAATCATAACTTTTGCATTTAAACATGTTAAATTTGGTGTTTCTTCCAGGGGTTTTCCTGTTTCCTTTGGAAATCGGCTGATGAACTATACCATAGAACTCTGTGATTCTAGGACAATATTTTCCTGTCTTGGATGGATAGTTAGCTTCTATAACAAACCCAATTACTTTTTGTTTCTTTAACTGCCTGAGAAAGTCAAATCTATGGCTGCATAAGAGAAAATATGTAGCAGTTTTCATATAAAAGATACTGGGAATACAAAATAGATTAAAAACAAATGTCAGTCCACCTGGACATACAGAATTTCTAATACATAAAAAAAACACAAAATAATTTTTTTTTGTCTTTGGCAAAGACTTTATCCAAAATGTTTGAGTGCTGCTAAAGTTTATCTTTCATTAGGATCTATCACACACAAAAGAGAAATGAAGCATGTCTCCCAGTTAAGTTTTCTCCTTATCATTATAATTTCCTAGCTTGCATCTTTCTGCTTTGCCTAAAGAAGAACTGCTTATTTCATAGCTCACTGCATTGAAACACCAAAGGTGACAGGCCTCCTTTACAAAAAAAAAAACAAAAACACCAAAAACCCAAAACATCTAAAGAAAGAACAGCTGGAAAAGAGGACTGTTTTTGACTGGAGATGACATTAATCTCTAGTTACACCTTTGAGTGATGCAAGACAGAGTGCAGTATGTGCTAATAGGTGGCAGAAGGCAAGATACATGTGTGTATTTAAAAAAAAAACCAAAAAAAAACCCCAACATTTGTGCATCTGAAGTGCATGTGTGTATGTCTGGCTGACTGTGTTCTCCCTAACCTCTCTTTTTGAAAATACATTGTACTTCTAAATTTTTTTAGGCCTGAAGTGATCTTGAAGAAATATACAGGTTGCCTCAAAGAGATTGAAATTTCAAGGACACCTTATAATATATTGAGTAGTCCTGATTTTGTTGGTCTGACCAAGGGATGCACACTAGAGGTTAGTTTGACTTCCATGTATTTCAGTCTTAATGGTATAAATGTTTTCTGGTTTCTGTTTTTATGGCATAATACATTAATTTTATGTTCAGACACACGTAGGGATCTAACCTGAGAATCAGAATGGTTATATTTAAGAGAAAGAGATGAATGAGTTTGATGAGCAAGTAGACCAGTTTTCCAGGTCCTGACTTCTTACACAGTATCCCTGGACAGTCGTGGTATCCCTACCCCTACAGGGTAAGATTTGCTGAAATGCTTAGCAGTGCTCTAGGTTTGTTTCAGTGGCCTAAAATGGGAATTACTGATATTAATGAGCTCCACATCAGCTACCAGTACAGCAAATCCAAATAAGTTTTTGTTGACCTGATGCTCTCCAAACATTTTTCTACAAAACATTGAACATTTCCTTTGAAATTACTCCAGCTTGGCCAGGCCAAAATAAAGATGAGTACCCTCTTTTGCTGCATTTATCACTAGTACCTCTGGCCTTCATCTGGTTGGTGAAAGGGCTGAAGAAAAAGTCCTGTGAGGAGAGGCTGAGGGAACTGGGATTGTTTAGTTTGAAGAAGAGGCTGATGGGAGATCTCATTGCTCTCTACAACTACCTGAAAGGAGGTCGTAGGGAGGTGGGAGTTGGCCTCTTCTTTCAAGTAAGTAATGACAGGATGAGAGGAAATGACTTGAAGTTGCACCAGGGAATATTTAGACTGGATATAAGAAAGAATTTCTTTACCGAAAGAGTGGTTGGACAGTGGAGCAGGCTGCCCAGGGAGGTCGTGGAGTCACTATCCCTGGAAGTGTTTAAAAGAAACATAGATGTGGTGCTTAGGGACATGATTTAAGCACTGAATGGGTAGATTAGGTTATGGTTGGACTTGATGACCTTCAAGATCTTTTCCAACCAGGATGATTCTGTGATAAAGCTAAACTGTAAACAACCAGATTTCTCAAATGTAATCTTACAAATTTCGGTTCAGAAAAAATTCTTGACAGCACTTCTTTATTTATTTTTTTTCCCATTTATTATAGATTCTTTTCTGAACAGGAAAGAAGGATAATGATGCTAATTTTCTTCTGTTGCTATGAATCTTAGGAAGTACTTTGTTTTTCATGTAATTTTGTAACTCTGGAGGTTCCAGAGAATAAAATCTAATTGAATTTACTATTTTGTTGGGGAATTAAAATACTCTTATTGAACAAAACAGCGTATGTAGGATAATTAAAGAGAAGTGAAGTAAAAGCAAAAGCTAAAGACTGGATATGTGCTCAACTTGTTCACTACTTTCGATTTCAGAGAAATGTGCTCATCATTAGCAATTATTTTATCTGGCATAATCTATTATCTCTAGATCTGAAAACAGTTTTACTATCCTGAAAAAATGGTGAGTAACTTTAGAAGAAGTCACTGTTTCTGTAGACTGGTCTTCCACAGCTGGAAAAGTACAGGAATTGGCAGTACTCACTGAAAATCTTCAGGAGTTTGCACTGATTTACTACTGGATGACACATTCTACTCTTTAAATTGTGTTAATGGCTACCAGTGTCCAAAGAGCTGGGCCATGTGCAACATGTGCTTCATTTATGAACCTGGGTCATCAAGAAAGCACTGGTGCTTAGTGAAGTAATAATGATGAAGCGATAATGACTGATTAATGGAAAGTATTTTCTAAGCATGTTTGGCACATAATCTAATTTATGTTCATATTGACTGTTGTTTTCTATTGTGTTGATTTAAAAGCAAAATCCCACTGTATTAACTCAATGGAAAATATCAATATAAAAAAAAAACAAACAAAAAACACCTTTGAGCAGTTATTTTTAATCCAAGAGGATATACCAAAATAAGACTGGAACTTTGCTTTCCTGTAAGACAAGATTCCAGAAATACTCTCATGATGCCAGATGTAAACAGGTAAATTAGTGTTTGCACAACACTTTGAGAAGTAAATTGCTTAGTATTTATTATTACTTTTCATCTGTTCACACTCATAATATTTACATGGTTTATTCTTTTAATTAAGAAATCCTTCTGCATGCTCATACTCTTGCTTTTAATCCATTTTCAATGCACTTTTATGTCCTCTTCTTCCTACAGAACATTTACACTGTTAGCTTCCCCAAGCCAGGTTTTGTGGAACTGCAGCCTGTCTCTTTCGATGTGGGCACAGAAATCAACCTCTCCTTCAGCACCAAGAATGAGTCTGGGATCATCTTGTTTGGCACAAGTGGCACAGTTGTTCCCCCCAGGAGAAGGCGCAGATACACTGGGGGGAAAGCTTCCCCTCTGAGGAGAAAGCGCAGACAGACGGGACAGGTACGAGGAACCCAGCAAAAGATAAAAAACTGTCCAGAATCTTAGAGTAAGGCACCCGTTGCTTGTTTCTAAACAAGAACCATATACTGTTCTTCACTCATTCTGAGGACTCGTTATGCACTGTTAAAAGTTTGGAAACATCTCTCATTCCTGTTTAGACAGAAATAAATGAGGATCATACTGTTTTCCCTGAGACAAAAAAAAAAATAAATCTGCTAAAAGCAGAGCAAAATAACCCCCTTGCTTGGGGGTCGTTGTTGCAGGATGTAAGACTCAGGAGTGCTCCAACATCTCCTTCTCTCCTGTAAATCACAAATCTGCAGTATAAAGGCTTTCTCAGGAAGAGCATAGACTCAGTCTGTTCAGAGGAAGTACCTACAGAGTCTCAGTGACTAATTGGTAAAAGCATGATCGCTGTTAGAAATTATTCAAATCTTGATTTGAACTTCACTGACAGACAAACTAGAACAGAGATAAAGAGAATATTTTGGTGCTTTCTTTGTTTAGGACTTCTGGGAAGTCATATTTCATTGTTCTCCTTCCTGCCTGTTCTAGAAAAGACTTTTCAGTGACCTGGAGGAACACACTCCAGGGCAGCATATTATAATGGCTCTCTTGAATGACATTAACTTCAAGGTAGGGGGTCCTTTGTCATTACCCAGCTCTTCAAGTCACAGACACGAGACACTCATTGCTATAGAAACTGGAGGTTAGATCGTAAAACCTGCTACAACATGATATTGGTTGCTAGAGTAACCTCTAGTGTGATTTGCCAGCCCTCCAAATGCAGAACTTACACTGAGATCAATCTTATTCAGGGCTTGACGGCTTTAAGACCAGGCCTTCTAACAGCAAAAATCAGAATTGTAGGTTACAACTCTCCATCCTTCCCTTCAAGTAGGGATGCACAGAGTAAGCTCTTTTGATGAGACTTTCCAGCATGACCTCATTTTACTCATTCCTCATTATAAAAATAAAAGAGTCTAAATACAGCAACAGCAGAACTGAAACTACGGTATCTTCACCATGGTGAGCAAAGAAAAAACCTCTATAAGAAAAATATACACACTAATGTAAAACTAAGTGAAATAGTTTCTTTCCAAATGTAACTTACCTTCTCAAACCAACAAATACCTTGCAGGCCTACTATGCGGTTTTCCTGAACAGAGGTCGACTAGAAGTCCACATCTCCACTGGGATACGGGATCCCCACAGAATCACCATCAGACCAGAGGCTGGAGAGTTCCATGATGGCAGACCACATTCCATCCGGATAGAAAGAGCTAAAGGGTAACAAATACCTAGAAGTGCTACAGAGCACACAGCATGTCTGATTTGACAAAAGGAACGTAATTAGCAATCCATGCAAATGCTTCTGCTGAGACAAAGAATTTCACATAATTCCTTCCTTATCCAAAAGTTTTTAGAAGTTAATTTCTGACAGTGCTTATTATTCTGCAGAGCTGGTTTACATAGCATCTTTCATAGCATCTTAGCCTGTTTCTCCACAGACCTGTGTTTATCTGAACTGGCATCTTTAACCTTCCTATAGTTGGCAAATATATTTTATTAATTGAATCTGTGAGTGAGAAATACCATTGTGGTGCAGTAAAACACTTTTTCAAGACATACAGAAAAAGACCTTTCTCAAAGTATATGAACAACAACAGCACAACAGCCTGTAGCCTTTTTGAGATGCCATGTGCTTTTGTATACACATGAGGTTAGAGTACTGCTCTGCTAAGTATGGTAAAACAATGAAGACGCACAATCCCAGATAAATGGCAGTCATTCTTGTTGTTGGACAACTCCTACCTTCCTCTTTTCAACCAGTTTCTCCCATGGGACTGCTTTGTCTTTAACTTGTAGCATGTGCAGTACTGAATTACAGCACTTTTATCAGTGAACTGACTCTCTCCTCGTAGATCCTACATTGTGAACAATCAGCAAGTCTCCTACTCTTCCATCTCCCCTAGAAAAAAGCTACCAGATCTTTTAAAGAGTCTACAGCATGTATCTGTGGTTGGTTCCACAATCCAAACAGTCTGTAGCAGCATTTGTTCCCCAGCAAGAAGACAATAGCTTGTACAAACCATGAAATAGGGAGGCCATACAAAATGTGGCCCCATGCTGTTCCCATCCTGCTGAGTACTAGATTATTCTACCCACCATGGCAGTACAGCAGGCAGGGCTCTTACCAGGTTACTGTTGCCACATTCCAAACCACTTCTTCCTTTTGGACCAGTGACCAATTATGGCTTCTTTGCTGCACAGTCTTGTCAAGCTCTGTCAGAGAACTACCAAAGAAGCACAGCAGTAGTCAAAAAACTTCTAGTGGTTAATATGCATTTGATGTGAGCCACTAATTACATTATTTGGGTTGCTCAGAGTTATAGGTGGTGTAGCAGTAAATGGGGTCTTCAAAGTGATTATTTTGATACAATCAATAACCAGAGTAAAATATGTATTTCTTTACTTTCAATTCTTTTCCACAGGATGTTCACTGTTCAAGTAGATGAAGACAAAGGCCAGACTCAGAGATTACCAACAGACCAGCCCATCTCTGTTAAGAAACTCTTTGTGGGGGGTACTCCTTCTCAGTTTCAGATTGCACCTCTCAGAAACATTCCACCATTTGAGGGCTGTATATGGAATCTTGTCATTAATGCTATGTAAGTCTCACTAATGCCAACAAATGTCCAGTTAATGAGGCCTGGTTAACTGCCTTGGCTGCCAAAAGAAACTCCACTGTTAAAAGGAATCACACAAACAGCAAGCTCTAGAGTATGGTCAGTTTTCTTATGCTCTTCCTTTTTTTGTCTGCAGCATACACTTCATGGGCTATTCAATTAATGACCTGTTTTACAGACAAGACAGCATCTGTCTATTTAGCCATAGAATTAGAGAAATTCAGCAGTAATAAGACTTGCCTCAGTTATGGGTATTTATGGTATACTATAACACTATTTTAGGTAAGGTTGATCTCCAAGAGTATACAAATTCTGAGAACCACCATGGGAATTAATTTGCTTTGTGGAAAGTGTATGCTGCAGTAAATTGGAAGGAGCATTAAAGTAAAATAAATGGAATAGTGAATTAAGTAAGACCTCTATAGAAACTTCCCATCTAAATCTTTCTTTCACATAACTGGAGTACCTAAACTAGGATCTCATCATCTCACATTCCATCAGCGTACATCATAGAGAGAAGGACCTCTCCTCAGTCAGATTCAGCCTACCTAGGCTGGTAAAGCTTGCCAAAGAGAGTGCCTGTCTCTCTGCATTGACTGCAGGGAGGAAAGCCAATGATGACTATCATACCTAATTTAGGTATCCCACTTCTGTACCTAAAACATATGAGATGAATCCTGGCTCTTGTGTCCCATGAAATGCAATTATACTGCAGCATACAGCTGTTCTTTTTAAATGTGTGGTAAAAAGGCAGAAAAACTAGTAAGAGACATTGATTTCCCTGTGTGTTCTCAGCCCCTTGGACTTTGCTCAACCCGTGTCCTTTGAAAATGCCGATATTGGCCGATGTCCCTCTCGAGAACCAGAGGCTAGGTCACCTGAAGAAGAAGATAAACCAATCCACTCAACAGTCCCAATCCAACCTGAACCAGACACTACTGGGGAGAAAGAAGGGCCAAGGACTCCTCCTACTTTCCCTCCTCCTCCACCACCATCTCTATCTTCAACACTTGTAAGTGTCATTCACTTCACTCAGATAAAGTTTGAAAAGTCTACCAAGGCAAAACTGAAAAGCTAGCAATCAAGAATATTGAAGTAATTTGCCACAAAAATAATAACAATTCAGCATGATACTGTAAAGGGAACATCTTGTTGCAGGTCAGTAAAACCTGTGGATAATGGAAAACTAGTTAATGTAATTTGGTTGGATTATCACAACAGTAAATTAAAGAACAATATAGCAATAGAATTACCTTTGGCTTGCATGCTTAGCCCTAAATCCTTGCATATCAGGATGTAAGCCAAGCAATATCTGACTGGGGTTGGACGGGACATTTGCTTATGGAAAATGCCATGTCAGTGACAGGCTGAAAGAACAGGTAGATCAGATGCCTGTTTGATATGGTAATTCCTCACTGCTATTTTATAACTTTAGTCAGGAGACTTATGAACTTCAAAACTGACAACCCAGTCACTATTATATTGAGCTCAACTGTTCATTTTACTGTCCAGAAAATATATGGTTAGATATCTGAATATTAAACTGAATAATATACAACCCACAGGTTTATGCAGGATATAGTTCAGTATGGGTGAGGTTTCCAGATGGTGTGAAAAGACTGCACATTTCCCAGTTAGGAGCCTATTTACACTACCATAATTTACACTATCATAATAAGACACTTCAGGAAGTTAACAACCAGAATATTTAACTTCCCTTTTTATATATATCAAATACAAAAGAGTACATAATTTTGACAGTTTCTCCCAGATTGTCTTCAGAAGATCATGTAACCATTTGGGGAGGCACTCCCACACTGAGTCAAGTATAAACTTCATTCCTATTTCACACCTCCTGACTGGCACAACATTACAGGACACTGACTTTATTGGAATTGAATTTTTCTGTGTGAGCCACAGTGAGTCAGTTGGCTGCAGATCTGTCAGTTAGAGCTAAAGGAACTTAAATTCCTTACTGCAGTCACTCCTTGTTACCTGATTTGTTTTCAGAATTCATATCTGGTTTTCTTTGGATATAGGTAGGATTTCTAACAATGCTTTTCTAGGAAAAACTAAAAATACAAATAAAAATTAAAAAAAATTGGGCAAACCCCCCAAGTCGTTAAGGTTAATTTTATAGTTGAGATTCATGGCCACCTTCACTGGCCAGCTACATATGACACAGCTTTATCTAGAGGGACTTGTCAGGTGCTGCTGAAGTCTTCACATCACATGCAGCCATCAGTGTACTTGGAAATGGAAGCCTCGGGTCCCAGATAGGCAAGCACCATCTGTTACTACCGCACCCCGAGCTGCAGAGTTTTATATAACGGCCTTTTAATGCTCTAGGGCAGCATTTTTTATTCATTCCCACAAGGTGGAGTAGTTGTAACACGAGGCCTCCGATGCATCTTTCTGGCGTTTAAAGTACAAAAAAATTAAATTGCAGTATAGTAAGGCTACCGTAGAAGGACAAGGAACTAAGCAACAAGGCAAAAAGGGATATTCAATTTGATGTTCATTGTTGTGAAAGTGTGCAGTCATATTATCCCTCAATCAAACATTATAAACAAAATAAATAAAAAAACACAGAAGAGAATGAGAGAGCAAGTGTCCACTGTCTAAGACTATAAGCACGAACTTCTAAGTAGCAAAATTGAGAGGAATAGATCTACTCATTAATACCAGAAACTAGTCCCATTGTAAGTGGGTGAGTTTTGTTTATCACATGTCTAGAACAATGATAACTTGAAACAGAAGTTTAAAGTAAAACATCTAAATAAAATAAAAATCACAATACCATTACTCCACTGGAAAAACAATGAAACCATTTTAATATTCTGAAGATTTGAAAGTGTTTTAAATAAGGCAAACTTTTGGGTAGTTTTTACCCTCATCTAAGTAAATTCTCCAAAAGTATTTTTCTGGCAAATGTTGCAATAAAATAAGTAACTATGCTCTAATATTGAGAAGGTACTCATATGGCAGTTAATTATACAGAAGTTCAGTGTAGGATAGTATATGGAAAATATATAGAGCAGAATACTCTGTCTCCACACAGTAAGCTTAAAAGAGGTATCTGTTCTATTTGAGTCCTTTTAGGATCTTTTTAATCTATGTTGTCCATCTGCATGCAAAAGGGGTGGGGGGAGATTTATTCCTAAATGAAAACAACTTACTAAAGGCAAGACAAGATCTAGACGCAGGACAGTTGAGAGTTACACTGGTCACCAATCTGCTGCTGCTGCTGCTGCTTGCTTATATGCCAAAATGTTTCTCAGCATTGGGTAGCTGCTGCTTCTGCCTCATGTTATTCACTGCTTCTCAGGATTCGTTTGCCACTGAAAAGAAGAACGCCAGAATCACTTCTCCATTTGACTCCATGACGGTATCTTCCACTATTTCTCCATGCATTACTTCATTGTTTTATTAACACTGTTCAGTGAGCTATGGGGACTGCTACAGTGGTGCTCCCTTTTCCTCCTAATTACTCTCTTCGTAATTGCTAATACAGCATTGTTTGTAGAGAATGTGTGACAGTCCACCAGTGGGCTTTTCTGTTCTTCATTTCCACTTTGATACACATATAGCTCCTTGACCTTCCCGTACAGCCCTTGACATTGGACAAGAGAGATGTAAAGTGCAGCTGAATAGTTCAGTCTTGAGGCTCTTGAGTAATATAGGAGATTATTAAGCAGCCAGGTTTAAACACAGGACAGCTTAAGGCCATTTCTGAAAAAAACAAAGCTGGGTTATTTTAATATAGGCTGATGGTCCATGCCTAGTTCATAGTCCTGTGAGGGCTGTAAAGCTGGCTGTCCTTAGATAAAGGAAAAGCTAACACAGACTTGTGAATAAAACCTGGAAGTTTTTAAAGCATTTTTTCCTTTCACTGACCTTTCCACATGAATCTAAGGAATGTTTGCTATTATCACTCGGTATTTAGCCGTAAAAAATCAATGTACGCTTACTCTGATTTCAACCATCACGGTGTGTTAGGCACTCTCTGCCACTCTTTGCCCTTCACTACAGTCCTGCTGGGATAAAGAAAAAATGCACTTTGCTGATGCTCTTCTAGTGTCTGATGCTGTTGTTCTAGTACTGTAGTTAGTCCCTATCTTCAAATTTTAGCAAGCCCAAATGCTATTGAAAGTATTACATAATCAGTATCAGATTGTTGATGTTGTTCTCATTATCCTAGTTTTTAAAGTTCTAGATAAACCTGCAAAGTTTAAAATAATTAGAAACTTTACCCAGCATTAGGGGAATATGGGAATTTTTTATTTTTTTTCTTTCTATTTGATGATGACTGGCAGGCTGCTGTCACACATTCGTAACTCTGGTCCTGGTGAATTTTCTCCGTTTTTTCCCTCCGTTGCACATTGATGTGTACTTGTCGTAATGCATGGTGTTCTACTCTGTCATATTAAAACCAGAGTATTAATTGTGGAAAACTCCTTTTTAGAGGAGCTCTATTCTGTTGGGAAGATTTTTGTGACATGTGAAAGCAAAAACTACAGCACTACCGAAAAACAGTGAGAGGGGGAAAGAAATTTCCTCTTTGCGGCTGAAATCTCATTGCCTGATGAGTCAGTAATGACATTTTCAAAGCGTTTCACAGAGAGAGCTCTGTGTCGCCAAAGCACCGCACCTTGTGCTTTGCAGGTCCCTGCTGAGTCAGGGCTCAAACAAGAGACTGTCACCAAGCCAGAATTATATCAGCCGCGTACTTAAAAACAGAGCTCGCAGCTATCAAAGTTTGGGGTTTTTTTCCCAGTTGTATTGTCCTGATATTGTGTTGTGTTAGATCCTTTGAGTAGGTTCTTCACAATACCCGCAGTGGGAGGCAAAAGCTAGACGTGAGTAGGAGCTGATAATTACCATGGTCTCACATTGCCCCAGGCACCCCTATACAAGAGCTTTAGGGCCAGAGATTAAAAGACCTAGTGAAATTAAAAAGAGAAAATTACAGTGGGGAGAAGACATTTTACCTTCCATTGTTGCAGCACTTTAAGATTAAAAGAAGTGGAACAGACAAGGAGGGGTTTCTTTCTTTAACACCCGGGTAATGTGTCTGCATCAGACAGCTCAGAGGGTTTAACAGTTGTTACTTCTATCCATCAGTTATCCGACTTCCCTTGTTTGTTGGAGCCTTTCAGCTGCACCGGGGGAGGCAACAGCACATTAAACAAAGAATATAATTGTAAAACAATATAAAGAAGTAAATGGGGGACTTGTTGACAAGTGCAGGATCTGAAACTGCTTTTAACTCATTATTTTTAAGGTGACTAGATTGAAATTCGACAGCAAAGTATCTCTTTAAGACTCAAGTCTGGATTCATTTCTGTAAGGCATCCTGCTGCGTAACACTCAGCTATGCGAGCTCAGAGTACACTGAGCTGCCTGGAAATCACTTAAGGCTCTTGTAAATGTCCACTGGTGGCATGAAAGCAGCAATGTTCATATATTACTTTTATTTGCTTTTACAACCAGCTTAACGAGCTCTGCCTTGACACCAAGTTCCTGTCATAGTGGTTTATAACTTTAGCTGGTGTGATAAGACATCAACAAGCTGGAAAACTGCAGGGCCAGTGTCCAGACTAGGTGGAATATTATAACTCCTGAGTAGTTGTACATCCAGCATATTCTCAGCTGAGATAGACACAAGATATGACTTCTGTATATTTTGCAGGATTCCTGCACTGCTGACACAGAACCAGCCATTTTGGAAGGTGGCAAGCAATTTGGTCTTTCAAGGAACAGCCACATTGCCGTTGCATTTGATGACACCAAAGTGAAAAACAGGTATATTGTTTATTTCAGCAATGAGTTTTGAGGGAAGCAGGTCAAAATAAAATGCCCCTCCCAATATCCTCAGAAGCATTCCCAAAAATTATGGGCATAATCTAAAAAAGATCACATCCTGTGTCTAATCCATTTCATTACGAATTATGCAAACATAAAAAGCATTAAAGCATGAAATCACGGCAATGAAGTGCCCACCTAAGTAGCTCTCACAAAACCAGTTTACTTCTTTGTAGAGGTTTGGACATGTACAGATCCTTGACCTATTTGAAGACAAAACAATGTAACCGAGTTAGTTCATAGGTTGTTTTTTTGGAAGAAAGTTTCTTGGTTCACTAAGCTGGTAATTTATTGTAATAAGGAAACTTTTTCTCCATCTTCTGATAGTTAAGATCAAGTTTGCACAGTAAACTGGCAAAATGACAAAATATACATATATATATATGCAAAGGAATCCCAAGAGCTACTTCTAAAAATACAGCTATGTTCAATGGATTTGTGCAGCTATAAATTGTTAATTGTTAATTTTTGCTGTGATGGCACATGATCATTAACAAATATACCATGCCCCACCACTGAGCATTTTGATACCATACAGTTTACAAATCCGTCAGCCTCATACTTATTTTTACCTATGAAGATGCTGTACTGCAGCACAGTATGTATTTTCACATCTGTTATTTTTAGAAAACTAGGAAAATAATAAAAATAAATAGATAATCCTACAGTCTTTGCATGTCTTCTTTTCAAATAAGAATCCAGGCCTGATCGTTTTCATGCAGTGACTTTTCACATATTGTCAACTACTTTCAGGTACTGACTTTACAGCTCAGCTTGGACTAGATTAGTGATGTGATGCCAGTACAACCTTAGCATCTAAATAAGTAATTTCTTCCCAGGTGATTTGCTGTGGGTTGGTTTTTGGCATTACCTTTTGGTCCAAGGGGGTCAGCGGTTTTCACAAGACCCCTTAGACATGCTCCCATTTTCAGTTGGGAGAAATTAAAATAGCTGTTTTTTATCCTGATTGTAAACCCTCTGCATCTGTAAAAGTTTTGCAGCCTGTCTTCAGGCAATACAACTCATTAGAAACTCAACATTTGCCAGCTGTCACTACAGCTCGCTCTTCTCTGTGAGCATTACGTGTGTGGATGACAGATAACGCCGCTGGAATTTTACAAGCACTGGGATTTTCTAGCAACTACAGCTGCAGCTGAGAATTGGATCTTGAAATTCTAATGCAAGTTTATATTTTTGTATTTCCACAGCAAAGGGACTAATGAACACTCACATGTCAGGGATCAGATATGTGTGAAATGCAATTTGTGTATAACCAAATTATTTTTCTTAAACCCTAATGGACAAGTAAAATGGGCCACCAAATGGATAGCTTTGTCAGAGGAACACAAAAAGGCAAAGCAGATAAATTTGTCTACTGAGTATCTTTTCCTTTGTTTCTGTTTTCCTGTTTGTTTGATTTTCAGACTTACCATTGAATTTGAAGTCCGAACAACAGCTGATTCTGGCTTGCTGTTTTATATGGCCCGCATCAACCACGCTGACTTCGCTACAGTTCAGATAAAGAATGGACTGCCTTACTTCAGCTATGATCTGGGGAGTGGAGACACCAACACAGTGATTTCCAACAAAATAAATGATGGCCAGTGGCACAAGGTAAAAGAGTCACTAATGCTAAGTTATTCTTTGTAATGCTGAGAGTGAGCTTTGTTTTGCCTTAAGGTGTGTGCAAAATGTAGTTTATACAAGCTAAACTTTACAACTCGGCATCTGCAAAAGTTGTGCTTTCAGTAACAAAAAAGGTAGTGCTGGCTTTTGAAACTTGTCTTTCAGGAAATGTATTTCTGGACATATTTAGAATATGTCTAATGTATGGTAAGGATCTTCAGAAAATGTTCCATCTTGCCTAATAGGGCTCGGGTGAGTACCAGCTGATGGTGATTAAATACATCATTAATGCAAGTTGTTTCTTTGTTAATAATGCCACTGTTCAGCCATAATGCTAATAACAAAGAAAAGGGAAAAAAAAAAAAAAATGACTTAAGTAAATCTTTCCTGCATTATTAACTCAGTTCTTCAGGGAATAAGTATGATATTCATAGAGGTACTTGGCAGTCCCTTCTGTGACTTTAGGAGAGGAAGTGTTTATATACACCACCTGTGGCTTTCAGATGGCAAGCAAAGGAATAATATCATAACCATGAAGTATTTCTGTGCCAAGGACAACAGACATAGAGTATACTTGGTAATATGATTGAAGACATCAATAAAGACACAGAAAAAAAACAACAACACATGTAATAATGTATTCAGGTGATATGCTATGAGACTTTACGTTTTGGACAGATAACCACATCTCTATCACCAACTGAGAAAAAAATCTAATTGCATTTGCTGTTATGTGTGAATTGGTCTTACTACACCCTTTTTGCAGCTATCCTTAGTCCCCCTTTGCTTCATTCCCACCCTGTTCCAGAGGAATTTTGTTTTCACAAGATTTTTATTCATGAATCTCTTGATGACAGCAAATGTTTTAAACCAAGTTATTTCATGAGGGGGAAAAACTAAAGTTGCAGTCATATTTATCTGTTTTACACAGTGCCTAGGTGCACTGACAGTAGACCAGGGCCTCTTTCTGCTGTACAGTCTCTAGATACAGAACAAAGATTTATTATTTTATTTATTTTACTTATTTATTTTTAAATCTGTTTTTATAATCTCTTAGCTATCTTCTCTATATTATAATATATAACTGAAGGACAGATTCTTAATGCAAGACTGTGTTCTTTGGGTATGCAGCTTAGCACTCTATGAGAGAGGGACCCTTGTCATAGATTCCATTTTTGTAGGAGAGAATGCAGACAAAATCCAAAGTCAGAGTTCCCAAAAAGCATAAAGAAGTCCTTTTTGGGAGGAGGAAAAGGGCAACCTCTTTAGTAAAAATATTACAATCTTTGCTTTCAAGAAAGCAGAAGCTTCTCTGTAAAAGAATCCTTTTAGTGAGAACCTTTTCTCCATTTGAAATGGTTTATGTTGAAACATGTCCATCAGGCCTACAGAAGCCACATGGTGCTGATGCTCTCTCTTTAGGTCCTCTGTAAGACAGCCTATTCCCAGTTCCTCCTCCTGCTCAGGGCTCATCTGTCTATGTCAGGTTTACAGTTTTCTGTAAACACAAGGTCATTCCCTCACTTTCAGGCCACGCCTTATCAGTGTTTGGCCGTTCCTGTAGTATGACAGATGTGCTCAGACAGTGGTGCAGGAGGAGCCATGTTAAAGAAAAGCCAGAGAAAGATGCTGTTTCTCTCTGTGCTACTCTGGTGACCTAGCCACTGTGCTGTATAGAACTCTGCTAATGTGCATGCTAAGTTTTACATTTTATCCCTTTTTTATACAGCACCATTATTGTAATTGTTTGTAGAGTGTTCAGTATAAACCTTTGGAAATAAATTGGCCTATGGTGGTTAGGGTAGAATTTCTTCAACTCCTCAGCAATTGCACTTCCTCCATGTGATTCACAGCCCATTTGTCTGAACAAAAGCAATAATACCAACAGAACATGGTTAATAGTATATTTACTCTAACGTGAACTATGATCTGATGCATGTCCAAACTACTGGAATCATGAACTCAGTATTGTCTGCAAATATGTGCTGCAATGAAGATTTGCCACCTGTGCCAGTAACATTCAGCACTTAGTAATCCCAGTACGTAAAATTGCTACCTGATTACAGGAAAAACAATATTGTGGCATGCCTATGATAGTAACAATTCAGCTTTGTAAAGGAGCCCCAAGTCTTTCCAGTAATTCTGATAAATAATAGTTAAAATGCCTGTTGACCTACAGCTTACTGAAGGGCAGTCACACATTTGCACAGAACCTTGCACAGAAGCTCTGTTCCATGAAGATCAGCTACAGTTGCTGCCATGGTACTTCTGTTAAGCATTCTTACTGCTTTCTCCCATGTTGTTAGATATTTCAGACCAGAAGGCCAGTTACAGTCTGGGAACTCCTTGTTGTCAGAAAACCATCTATTATTGTATTGCATTTGTGTGTCTTTTCAGATAAAAGTAATTCGAACCAAGCAAGAAGGAAGCCTTATAGTAGATGATGTTTCAAACAAGACTGTAAGCCCCAAGAAAGCCGATATACTGGATGTTGTAGGAATGCTGTATGTTGGAGGATTGCCCATTAACTACACAACTAGAAGGATTGGCCCGGTAAGCAAGTTTAATTAAACTTAATTCCTTAAGTATGTCTTGATTGATACCAATGTCTTTCCAGTTTTGTTTTGTTTTGCTTTTCCCCAAGACTGCTCAAAAATATTGTTAAAATTTATCTTACTGGAGGTATGCTACATTCTTTCACTGGAAAGATATGACTCAGAACCCAGTTAAAGAAAAGGAGTAGAAATATCAGTTAGTTGCTGGTATGGAAAAGCAGAGAGATTCATACACTTGTACCCACTTGGATAACTGCACAGCTACATTTTAAGGTCCTGAATACTACTTTCTCTTTCTTTTGGTTGTAATCATCTGGCAATGAAGTGCTAATAAACAAAGAAAGCATGTCCTAAGCAATGGAAGCCAAAATTGCCCTGGACAAAGTAACCAGTAGCAAGTACAGGTGCTTACTGTAGTAATTGGATTTGTATTATTACTAAACTAGGAGATTACATAATTTGAAGTAAGTCCATGAAAACTCTTTTGTCCTCTCTCTGTTTCCAAATCAAATGTGGATAGATCAATCACTGTTTCAGATTACATGCCCAGCTTCCATGCTGGCACAGAAGACATCCTTGCAAACAGACAGGTCAGACAGTTGAATATAATTTTGGACTAAACATTGTAGGATCAAGTAGGAACACTTTATTCCCTCACCCATGCCATTTACTCCATCTATCCACAAACTCCCTGTCAGTCACCTCACTTTACTGCTGCCCTCCCACTCCGAGGATATGACAGTATTAGAATTGGAGAAAAACCTCTTCCCTGCATTATTTTTCACTCTGTGCACTCTTTCAAAGCAGAAGACAGAACTTGAGTGAATTTGCCTATAGCAAACAACAAATTAGGCATATAGCACAGCACAATGTGGACAAATAACTGAAATGTTAGTAGCAGCTATGTCTAGGCTTCTTCTGGGCAGTTATACATAATAAGTAAAGAGGAGTCAGAAGTACAGATCCCAGCAAGGAAACAAACCAGACTCTCCAAGAAACTGCATTTGAGTAAATGCCATTGTAGCAAGATGATTACAGAGTGGCATATACTAGTCTATAGACGGGCAAGTGTCCACCAGTTGCAGTGGACAAAATAATTACAGAAAACAATTCCTAGATCCTGCTTAAACAAGTCACTATAATAACTTGTGGATGGTGAAGGAAGGGGAAGCGTAATCACTGTAAATCTCAGTCATATTCTGTAAAGAAAACTGATCTGTAAAGTATTATTTGTCTTCAAATTTTGGATTGTGCAGTAAGCCCAAATTGAGGCAAATCTATTGTTTATTTGGATTTACCAAACCAATTCTGAGGCACTGAAAACCAAAAGTAATACTTAACCATCCACAAAATATACTTCCTAATACTACCAAATTGTACTTTCTAAAATTTACAAATACTAATCTAATCAGAGTGGTATTACTAAATCCTTCCTTATTACTCCTTGTCAGAAGTAATGGAGGGAACCCATGCAGGTAAATGTCTCAGTTGGGCAATAACAGCCATGTCAGATCCTCACAGTCTTATTTGCTTTAGAATTTAAATGAAGCTGAGACTTCAAATGTCATTAACAGGAGGTAAAAAGACCAGTGCTTGCCTTTCAGTCATTCCCAGTAAAATACACTGCATGATGTACTAATGGAGTGTTGGGTTGCAGGTTTCATGTAAAGGCTCTGAAGCAAAGTCAATTGAAAGCATGTATTATCTTAGTTAGGGCTTTCTGCTAAACAAACATCAACCTTTTAAGACATTAATCTAATGATTAACCATAGGTGGACTGGCTTCCTATTCCATGCAGAAGACTGATACCTACTTGTTTGGCTTCAGCAGATGTTAAGCACTCAAAAATTCTGCTTTCAGAAAAAGGTGCTATATTGCCAGTTACCAGATTTGCTTTTCCATAGAGAAAGTGAAATTTTAAAGTTAGAGAATGTTATTGAGTTGTCCACAAATCTTGCATTTCTATGATTTATTTTCACAGTGAAGATGAAAATATTTGTTTTCTTTTGTGGTGTTTTCCTTTTCTGGTAACAAAACTTTTTGATCTGGAGAGTCTTTTTGTGAAGAATCTGGCAGAAAGCCTTGCTCAGCTCAGAACTGAAGTATTCACTGGTATTGCTCAAGTTGTCATGAAAATTTTGTACAGGTGTATTTAACAGTCTGGAGTCTCCTTCTCTAGAGAGTTTCAAGAACTACCAGGATGTGTCTCTGTATGACCAGCCCTAGATTTTGTGGTGGTGCTGCTCTTGCAGTTGGGGCTGGACTCGATGGCCTCCAGGGGCTCCTTTGAACCCCTAACATTCTGTGATTCTGTGATATATATAATCCTATAAAATCACAGTACCTTTACCTTTGATTTATAAGGAAGTAAATTATTTGAAAATTCTTTCAGATTCCTAGTCAGGATATTGTTAGTGTGCAGAGTCAAGGCTTCCATCTGCGAGTGTGTCTTTCTCCTTTCTGTATTTGTACATATTTCTACACTACATTTATCTGCTGATTGTTTTCTTTTCCTCCTTCCCACTGTATTGCTTTGGAAAACTTCTTCCTTTTCTTCCCCAAAGTACACAATTACAATTTTCTTCTCTCCCACTGCTACCAGAGATAAGTCTTCCTAACTATAAGTAAAAAATCAAAGGCTTTGTCTAAAGGCAGGAACCAAAATGCAGCTGCTGCAGACCTCAGAGAGAAAAGGGAGGGCCAGTGGCACTTGTCACTGTGGTCACCAGACCTATATATGGTTATTATATACAGAATTATGTACAGTCAACAACCTTTATATGGAGGCTTTGCTCCTTTTAGCAGCTGCATACATGTACGTGCATGTACGTGCTCTGTCTTAACGTATGATATTAGGCCCATAGTAAAGCGATTAAAGGGAAGACAAAAACAAAACAAAACAAAAAAACCCTTAGTAAAATTACCAGCAGCCAAGAGAACTATATCCAGTATCTTTATCTACCCACAAACCCCATAACCTAGTCAATTAAACAGGTTAAGTATAGACCATTAAATTCCTGCATTGCTGATGTAATTTTCTATGTTTCATTATGCAATATATTATTCTGTGTCCTCTCCATTAAGCCAAATAGATGTGACTCAGATCACATCCCTGAGAAGGAAAGTAATTCATCCTCAGTATGATTGAAATTAGATTCCAATTACTATTAGATATTAAGGATTAGCCATGTAAAATTCAAGTTTTATTCAGCTCCATAAATCCAGCAGAGAGGCAGAGGAAAGGTGCTTTTTGATGACATGCTTTATGCCTTTATTCTGACCATTTCAGCCTGCTTTGCACAGTTACACATTTTGCTTGAAATATTGACTGCAGGTCACCTACAGCATCAACGGCTGCATCAGAAATTTTAAAATGACAGAATCACCTGTTGACCTGGATAATCCAACTTCCAGTTTCAATGTTGGAAAATGCTTTGTCACTGCACAGGAAGGAACATACTTTGATGGAACAGGCTTTGCCAAAACAGGTAATGAACAGCAATTCTGCTGGTAGACAAGGAACAGAGAAAGAGGAGATGGCTGCTTTCAAAAACGCCCAGTGCTGCCTAACTCCTGTTGACTGGAGACAGAGTGAGACCAGTACTTGAAACTCACTGATTTTTTTTAGTTAACTTTTTAGCAAGGTCTCATGTGAAGCACAGCCACCATAACATTTACTTACATGATTTCACATGAAATGGTGTGCATTAATGCTGAGTTAGTTACCTTGCATTACTGGCAACACACTTTGTGTAATTATTAAGAATAAGGCACAAAATGTTTTTCCTCATTTTATTATGCTTCCCCTATTCTGTCCAAGTTGGTGCATACAAAGTGGGAACGGACCTGCTTGTGGAATTTGAATTCCATACAACACGAATGAATGGTGTTCTCCTTGGAGTCAGCAGCCAGAGAATGGATGGGCTTGGCATCGAATTAGTAGATGGAAAAGTGAGTAGCAAAGCATTTTTTGCTCTTCGTGGAGACTGGTTCTAGAAAGCACAAGTAGTTTAAATGCAAGCTTGCTACACCAATCTCAAGGCATTGCAGTCAATATCAGGGCTCTCCTTTATGCTACACTTTCTAGTTCCCATATGTCAAGAGGCTCTTGCACTTTTACAGAGTCCTTTTAAAAGGTTCTGTAACACTTGAATTTCCTAAAACTGCAACATCAGGACTTAAATTAGAGACAATATGTAAAGTTCTGAGGAAGAGTTTTGCCATTAGTAATACTCTGTTGTGTATATCTCCATATATATCCTGATCTGGTAAACCAGTCAGTAGTCTGTCACTATAAAGAGCTGTTTTTTCAGGGGACTTTCAAAAACTAAGGCAAAAATGGAAAAATTACAATCCATAAAAAAATTCTTCATATTTCTACTGGTGTTTATCTCGGTGACATATCCCAGACCCCAGTGAGCCTACGCAGAGGGACAGCAATTCACACAGAGCCTTGTATCAAGTCAGAGCTTCCATATGTACAGTCAGAGCCTGTTGATTTAAATCAACAAAAACATAATAAAAATAAGAACTATAGAACTGTTTTGAGAACTATCTGACTTTCATGTCACTCTTCTCAGGTAATGTTTCACGTTGACAATGGTGCAGGCCGATTCTCTGCTATCTATGAGCCTGAATCACCAGGCAGCTTGTGTGATGGACAGTGGCACAAGGTTCTTGCAAACAAGATCAAACACCGTTTAGAGCTGACTGTGGATGACAGACAGGTGGATGGTAGCAGCCCAAACAGAGCCTCAACCTCAGCAGACACCAATGACCCTGTCTTTATTGGAGGATATCCTGGTGAGCATTTCCCCCACAAATAATGCTTTACTTGTGCTCTAGCAACACTGCCTTGGTAATCACTTAAATGCAATTAGGATTAGTATGGTAAAGGTGATAGATAAGACTAAGTTGGCATGATGGATGCTCAATTCTGCATTCAGCTGCATTTTAGAATGAGTTCTTTTGCAGCACTAAGGGACTCTCACAGATCCCCTGCCCTGTCTGAGAGGTAGACACTGTCACAGAGGAGCAGGCAGACTTTTTGCCTTCTGCTGCCCACACACACGCAGCCTCCCTCTTAAAAATTCCCAGTTAGTAATGGCACAATAGTTATGCTTTAATAGTAACAGTATTGGGCACATTGAAATTTAACTAAAGAATGTGTACAGGTCACTGGGGAAAAGGGAGTGGGGGGAGCAGGGAGGGGTGGGAAGGGCACTACATATGTGTAAATCAGTCTGTAAAACCTTGAGGAACACGGACAACAGCTTGCACAGATTGATGAGAGAATACCATCTCTTCCTGATGAGTGTCTTTGCTAATGGTCTGGTGTTTTTTTAAAAAGGGGGAAAGAATATAAAAATTTGCTACTCAGTATTCTGGAACTCCTTGAGAGAACTTGCTCCAGGCGGTGGTAACTGGAGAGGATCCAGAACTTAGGTTGAGCTCTGTAGCTAGCTTCATCTTACACTAGAGAATCAATAAGTTCATCTAATAGCAGTTTACTTTCTGAAAACACAGCTGTTTACAAAGTGCCAATTTTGTTGCATTTATAATGAAGTTTCCCTGCAGTTTGCAAACAAAAGCTAAGTATGTTTGCAGTATGTGTCTGCTCTAGTGCTTACTGAGGTCAATGGCCTCTTGAATTAATTCCTAATTGATTTTCTTGAAAATGTTTTCCCCTCATTTTAATGTGTGATACAATGCATCCAAAAGCCACCTGTCTCAAGCTTCAGATCATTTAAAAAAATGTTCTTGACACTGAGATGTGAAAGTTGTACTTTAGTCACGGTGACTGTTGATAAGGACAAACAACTTTGTGCCAGAAGGACCACAGGTTTGTGGCTGTCTTTTTACAACAAAACAGGATCCTAACATAGGAGCTAGCTCTAAAGAAACACTGCAGATGGAATTACTGTCTTATTCTGGGTCTCTACATGAAGAGAAACAAATGGAAGTAACACTGCAATCTGTACAAAACAAGCTTACACTTATGTCATGTTGAAGTGATATTCCTGAGTTCAGCCACATGGCAAGTTAAGAAATTATTTCATAAATATACATGCACATTTCAACACTTCACACATCTCTTGCTGTCTAGTCTAGCTCAACCAAGAATTGTTTTAACATTCTCAATGCCTAGACAGCCTCATCACAAATTTAAGACATGGGAAAATGGGAATTTGTAAAATTACTAAGCATTTGTATTTTACTGTCCTTGAGCCTTCTCCTAGCTGGATAAACAGAGCAAAGCAGTTGTAAACCAGCTAGGATCAGCTGGTGAAGAATTTCCTTTGCAAAGAAACTTTTCACCGCCAGAGCAAGCATATAAATTCCTAAGTATCCACAAAAGCCATTACTTATCACCTGCTATCACTCTTCCCTGTGCAAGAAGGAATAGATGGATTCAACAATCCCATCCTCTGGGAAACAGCAGAATGCTATGGCAAGTCAGTCCTCTACAGGTGTAAAGTTACTTCTGCAACTCTTACTTTATCAGTCACATAGATTTGTGTTGTAGTTCATCCCTGTAGACACTTTCTTTTGGAAGAACAGTGACAATCAAGTTGTGCCATGAATTTCAAGCAGTTGAGAGAAATATTTCCAGGTTTTCAGTCAAACCTTCTCTAGCAGAAGAGATGTAATCAAATCCCTGGTGTTACTATCAGCAAGAAAAAAAAACCACGACCAACAAAAAACAACAAACCAGAATGCTTGAAAGCTGTTAAAATCGTTCCTTAAATGACACCTGAAGGCCATGCTGAGGAACTAGCTTTCTCATTATGCTAGTGCTGAAAACTGCAGCCATTTGAAGCTTTTTATTTTTGCCCTGTTATTCTGTACATAAATAGCTTGAGAGGCTGGAGATCTGCAGGGTGAGCACACACGCATTATACACCATTTACAGGTAGCAAGCTGCCATTTGGCTATTTTCCTTCATTTCTTTTCTGTCATGTAACTGAGTCATATGGTTTACAATGGTAGCTTAAATATGTTCAGAATCTGCCACTGTCAGGCCAGGACAGAAAAAGGAACAAAGACTGGATTGTTATCACTAATGTAATTGTTTATCATGTTCATTCATAATGTTTGTCATCTTTTGACTAAAGACATCAAATAAAACATATGTTCTCCTGCAGGACTTTCAAAGAACAAACAAGTACTTACCAGCTCAGTCGTACATAATTCCTTTTGCCTTTTTTTCTCCCCCCTTCAGATGGTGTGATCCAGTTTGGGCTGACCACTAATATCCGTTTTAAAGGATGTATTAGATTTCTGAAGCTCACCAAGGGCACTGCCAAACCTCAAGAGATTAACTTCAACAAAGCTTTGGAGCTGAAGGGTGTTCAACCGCTCTCATGCCCTGCAAACTAACAGTCATTCAACCAATGTGGGTCTGTTCATGTAAGCTCCTCAGATAAAAAGAAGAAAAATATATATATATACATGTAATACATAATAAAATCTCTTTATGCAAGTATTTGAGTAGTGTTCGTGGTATATTCAGACAGCTTTTTCAAGGTACCTCAAAATGATGCAAGAACTAATCCTCTTCCCCCACCCCCTTCATTAAGGGAGTAGAACAATATCTTTTTTCTACCATTTTCCTTATAGCTTGAAATTGAAATGTTTCATCATTCTTCAGAGGAGTGACATCTCATACTTTGCAAGGTGTTCCTTTACTATGGAACTTAGAATCATAGAATATATCAAGCTGGAAGGGACCCATGAGGATCATGGAGTCCAACTGTCTATATATTTTGGTGAGCTAGATCTGTAGATTTGCATTCCTTCATAACTCTAAATACAGTGCATTTGTGTGCATGCACATCTCTGTCCTTCATTAGAAACAGATATATTACCTTGCTTAAATCACTCCCAAGAGCTTTTGGAAAAATTTTCTGACCACAGTATTTCCTATGAAAATTTCACTGAGAAATTAACAATTGTATGTAGCCCACATGGCTGCTGTCATGCTATAGCCGTAAGTGCAGGGAAGGAAAATGTAACTGCTTGTTTGATTTATTTGGGATTATTGAAATACATTGCACCTAAAATCTTTGCTGTATCACTTGAACAGCACTCGGTTTTAATAGAGCTCATGTCGTGTGATGTTAGGAGATGTAGTCTGTAAGAGAAGGAGCAGAAGAACCAGGTTCTATCACGTACCTGGAAATATGGGTTTAAATGATCCTTAATAAATCAAGACTGACAGTGCCCCTCTCTCCAACTACACAATGTTGAAGTGACAGAAAAATTCACAGGCACATTTCTAAAGGAAGATGAAATCTGACACTGCTGCTGTGGAGCAGAATGGGGTAAAACAGAATCCCAGAGATTATTAGCATGGCACATATTGCTGATCTCTACTGTCATCTATTTAATTAAATCCTTAACGTAAAAGCAGCTTCCAAAGTTAGACTCTACTGTTTCTTCTTTGCTTAAGAAACAAAGATTGGAGTTTCTGCATAAAATAAATTGAAAGGGAAAAAAAAATTAAAATCTGGAGGCTTTTATATTCTTTGCTCTGTTAACTTCTTTCTCCCTTGCATGGCCTTCCAGGAATGTGTGAGACAGAGCAAAAACAATGAAACAGTGCACATTATTTCATTTCTTGAACTTTTGGGTGGAAAGAATCAACCAGCTGCTGTCCTCTGCTAAAGGAAATAAACGCAGTAGGCTGAAACAACAGCTACTTCAACAAATAGCCAAGCTAAAAGGAAACAGAAACATTTGCCTAGTCTGTTTTCACAGATCACTGGATGCACCCAGAACTGTTAATAAAACTTTCTGCCTTTGAAGATCCAGCAGAGCATCTGGGAAGAATCCCAGCTCCCTATTACTACCTTTTACCATACATTCATAGATAAAATTTCTTGAAAATATCAGTTTCTGAGCCTCAGAGCCATATGCAAACTGCTTGAGATTATGTCACTGCTGACTATGCCAGAAGCGATGTAATTTCCCAGTTCAAGACTGCAAAACCAATACACATCTACAGAACACAAATATTTAAACCCTAATTTGCTGGATGTTTTGCATACAGAAGTTTTATTGCCTCTTTTTTTTTTTTTTTTTTTTTTGCTTACACATTAAATGCATTAAATACTCTTCTCTTCTACACTTCAAAACTAGAATCACAGAATCACAGAATCCTAAGGGTTGGAAGGGACCTCGAAAAATCATCTAGTCCAACCCCTCGAAACTTCACATCCACATGTTTTTAACATGGTATTTAAGACTGACCCTGCTGTCTGAGATCACCCTTGGACATCTATGATATATATTCACTCTGTATGGGACAAATTCCTCTTCATTTCTAGTTTTATCCTGTATCTCCTTTAACATAGAAACCACTAGGAATGCCAATTCCAACTTCCTTTTGTTCAGCTGTGGGGCTCCTTGGAGAGCTCAGATGTCTGCTGAGGGGTTTCTCAGGACAACCAAGTAAAATTTTTCATGCATCTGCTTCATGACCCACAAAATATCCCTGTCCCCACTTTCACTGTTTCATGCTTCATAGACACAAAACCATCCATACCTCTCACCACCCATACCTTTCATCATCCATACCTTTCTTCAAATCAATTTCTTAACTATACCTGATGACATGTCATGCAATGGAATTGAAATCAAACACTGAATTATTCAGCCTAACTATTTCTATGCTGTTACTCTTCATACTCAATAGTACAAATAATTTCTTCAGGTTCCTTAGTGTTCTAGAAAATTACCTATATGATGCACCTATTTTGACTCCAAAACCCAAACCTTTCCTCTTCAGGTTTAGCATAAAATTACAGCATTTCAGAAATGAAAATTTCTAGTTTAAGCATAGAAAGAAAATCGTAAGGGAAAATCTCCGTCAGTGCTCTTGTACGCTACTCATGCTTCGCCTGGGACAAACACAGGAACCTTTAGCCCAAATCTGAGTCTCACCATTTTCGTTTGCCTATGGAGTTACCTATTTTGAAGAGAACTGCACAAAACTTTCCTAATGTTAGAGTCACTTTCTTTTCCCCTTCTTTTTCAAAAGAAAATCTGAGTACAAAAATAAACATGCTTTCTGCTTGCCCTGTCTTATATAATTAACACTGTTTTAATAATAATAATGAAAGTAGATGTCTGGAGCTTCAAGTACTAACTTTTATGGTAGATAGTATTATGAAATATTCTGCAAAGATGAATAATCTGCTGTGACATCTCTCCTTTTAGTCATAATTTATTTTGACAACTTCAGTACTTCTATCTGGCACGAGCAAGGAGGGATGACTGGCAGCTGAGGCCCTAAAGTACCTAAATTTCCTGTGGTTTTCTTCATTATGATTCTGACCTGCAATATAACATGAATTTGATTTAAACAGCTGAAGGCCTCAGTCTTTCACTGAGTTTCACATCAACAGAATGGCTCCCTTGGAGAGGGTAAAACCACTGCATGAGCTCCCATCCCTCTGCATTCAGGCAATGCAGAATGTGGAGCAAGGTAGGCTCCCACGTCCCTCTCCCTCAGAGGCACGAGGTTCCGTGGAGTAAATCTAAGCCCTTTCCTCCCCAGCTGTGAACAACTTGAAGTTAAGAGCCTTCTTAGGTACTGAGACGTCTGGAGATGTAGACAGGCCTAAGACAGCTTAGACTGATATCTCTACAGTTCACATCAGTTTACCCCAGCTGATGATTCAGGAAAGATGCAAATACTACAAGCATTTAGCACCTCTTCAGATAAAAACTGTTTCATTCCTCTTTTTAAAATCCTATTTTTATGTTAAATTTGCTTGAGGGAAAGTCATCGCTCCTCTTCTTTAGTTCTTTACTGCTTCTTTATCTGCCTCATGGACAGTTACGTCCTACAACTTAGGTGGGAGTAAAATAAATATTGCTGTTTGGAAACAAACAATGTCAATCTGTTATTGGTACACACATCAGACTACAGGTTTTACTAAAAATGAGCAGAGAAAACAGCAGGCTGTCAATTCACCATACCTGCAAGACTTCCCTTGTTCCAGCTCTCCTAACTCCTACTGCTTTAGAATCTAAATTCTGTCCAATCCAAAGCCTGATCTGTCAACAGAGAGCAGGGCTACAGGCCCAGATGGTGCCAGTGACCAGGAAGCAGCAAAGTTTGGTCACTTCAGAAGCTGCAGACAGGCCTACTATCACCCTGGGTATTTTGTTTAATTTCATGTCACTGATAAAACCTTTCTTCTCAATTGACTTGGTAGCTTTGCCATAATTCATTACAGCACCTGCCATTAGGGTTACTCTTGACCGAGTACAGCAGAACTCCAGTTTAGGGAAAAGCTTCCAGATCTGAGTAATATCAAACATTAATAGCCATTTTCTTTTCCACAAAGAAACGAACTCCCCAGTTGACCTGAGTTGCAAGTACAGCCACTTAGATTTTTGTCACAGAGCTGCAGCATTTTAAGAAATTAACCTTATGTGTGTTCCCTTAAGCCCATTTCTTTCTGCTAATGGTTGCATTTTTGCTACTCTTTGGTCCATTTTGACAACCTGAACAGATCTGCCCACTAAGTAAGGGAGGGTTTAACAAAGGGGCTGTATTTCACTGGAACAGCTGATCAAATTGGTTGAGAATTCACTGATACTGAGGCAATGAGGAAAAATCTAAGTACCTTCTGACTGCTGTTAAAAAAACCCATGAAAAGTCTGAAGGTCAAAAGGCCAGGATACTGCAAATATTGCACTGCATCTCCTCCAGCCCATGGACAGCTGGACAGAAGGGCAAACTCCCCACAGAGAAACTACTTACAACAGTGAGTTACCCTAAATTAGAAAACCCAGCTTTCATCTAAGGCTGCGTACAGCTGGTGCACACTGAAGGAAAAGGTTACAACATGCAAAACACTGAAATCACATCTACATGTGAGATTATACATTTACACAGCCAGGCACACAGCTCTGAGAAACAAATAAGCAGGTCAGGAATGCCATTATAACAGGGCAGAAAAAAGGCTACAGATGAGAGTACTCAGTCTGCAAATCTGTACCTGGGCCAGACACAAAATGGCTCCCAGTGGTTTGTTTCTGGCTTTTCTCATGTAAATGAAAGAAAGAAAACATGTACTATAAAATTTTGCTCAGTGTTGTGTGCTCTCTACAGTATACTCTTCTAAAGATTACAACTGTTCAACATGCTGCTAATGATTAGGGGTACAGGTAGGTTTTTCAGCAGTGCTCTGTAGTTTGGATTTTTTTGTTGTCATTTTTTTCTAAATGATTATGGCCCATAAAAATGCAACACTGCTTCTTACACTGGTAAGTTGCTTAGTGTCCATCCTTTTATAAAGGGGTAAAGGAGAGGAAAAAACCCTGCATCCAGACATTATGCTTGAAAATATAAACTAAAGAAAGCAGCGCTGCATTCCAGTATTAATCAAAATCCCACACAACCACCTTGAAGCTTGTGATTCCATGTCAGAACTCTCAAACCAAGTTTGCAAGATGCCAATATGCT